CATGAATTGTTTCTTGTTTTTTTAGTAGCATTGTTAAGTTTAGACATTAGGCCAGCTCGATGGCTTAAAATGGTTTAAAAAAAAATTAAAACAGCTTTTATTCTAGCCGAAATAAAACAAATAAGACTTTCTCCAGAAGAAAAAACATTTTAGGATATACTGTGATAAATTCCTGAATCTGTTCAACATCATTTGGGAAATATTTGATGAAGATGAAAAAAAAATTCAAAGGAGGGCAAATAATTTTGACGTCAACTGTATGTTTTTGTTACATTTGCGTAATAAAACAAAACTTATTTTGGATAAGATTAATCTTTGCCCAGCACTAATTAATTGCATTGCAATATCTTAAAGGGACAGTTCATTCATAAATGAAATCCACTTTGATTGGCTGTCATCTCAGATAACAGCTGCACATGACATACAAACACATGCGCATATGCTTTATCAATTTCACCATGCTAAAACCTGCGTTATGCATGAATAATTTCACATGCATTCTTCCAATAATGTTAATATCTGAATGCTTACCTCTCTCCATGCTCTCAGATGGTTAATGCTCTGCGTGTGGCTCGTGTTGGGTCGTCTTCAGCTGGTGTTGGGGTCACTGAGGGATATTTTGGGCTTTGCGTCCTAATGTTACGCTGGTGTCAGAGGACCAAGACTTCAAACCCCGGCGCTTATTTGTGACATTTCCGTCTTCTACCAAACACTGACGGCATTAAATCACATTACAGCATGTCATGTTACGTGAGTCTATTTCTGACTGACAGTCTCTGCGGGATCATAGATGCACATTAGTTTCAGCCATATTTATATGCACTACTGTACACGTGTGCTTAATAACTGTAAAGCTGTTAATCAGAGGACACAGACAATTTTCCTAGATGTCTTTGGGTAAAACTGTCAGTGAAGTGGTTATTTGTGCATGCTTTATATTTGCGATTATCATTTTAAATTGAAAATTGTAATTTACAAAGTTCTGCAGGCAGTAATTTGGATTACATTTGTTTGTGAAGATTAAGTACTGTATGTGTTCGTTCTAGAAAAGCTAACAAAATGAATCAATAAATTATGATGTAAATGAATTAAATTAATAAATTAATTTTATTATTTGAAAAAAAAGGCCAAGACAAAGAAGAAACTAAACTAAAGTCAAAACCAAGTTAACTAAATTAAAACTCATAACAATACATACAAAAATATTTATTTGAAGTATATAAAGCCAACAAAATAAATAAATAAATAAATAATATTTTAAATGAATTCAAGTTGTAAATTATTTGTATTATTTTAAAATTGAAAATAGAAATTAATTGAATAAGTGAATTAAAATTCATAAAATACAAAATAAGTTTATTTAAAGTGCATAGAAGCTAACAAAATAAACAAATTATAATTTTAATGAAATTTAAATTAATTTAAATAATATTTTCTTTAATAAAAAAGGCCAAGACAAATGGAAAATTAATTGAGTTTTTTTAAATTCTAAAAGTGCATAAAAGCTAACAAAATAAACAAGTTATTATTTTAATAAAATTTAAATTCTTTAAAATAATAAGGTTTTATTATTTTAAAAATGCCAAGACAACTGAGAAATTAATTGTAAAAAAGATTTAAAAATAATTAAATTAAAACTGCAAATACAAATAAAAAATACAAAGTTTATTCAAAGTGTTTAAAAACTAAATAAATAAATCAATAACTTATTATTTAAATTAAAATAGTAAGTTATTTTTTATATTAAAATAAAGACAAGACAAGTGAGAAATTGTACAAAAAATATTGAATGAAAAATCATAAAATACAAAAAAGTTTATTTAAATTGTATAAAAAATAACTAAATAAATAAATTATAATTTCATTAATTTAAATTAATTTAAAAAATAAATATTTTTATTATTTAAAAAAGCCAAGACAAACGAGAAATTAGTTGCAAATATATATATAAAATAAATTAAAACTCATAAAATACAAAAAAAGTTTATTTAAAATGCTAACTAAAATATTAAATTCTAATTTAAATAAAATTTAATTAAAATAATCAATTATATATATTATTTTAAAATAGGCAAATCAAGAAATTGTTTGTAAAAAATATCTACAATTAAATGAAAACTCAAATGCAAAAAAGTGTTTAAAAGCTAACAAAATAAATGTATGAATAAATTATTTAAATAAAATTTTAATTATTTAAAATAGTCAATTAAATTTTATTATTTTAAAATAGGGCAAGACAAGTGAGAAATTGATTTAAAAAAATCTAATAAAATTTTAAAAATACAAAAAGTTTATTTAAAGTGCATACTAGCTAACAAAATAAGTTATAATGTAAATTATTTTTAAATAAATTAAAATTTAAATAACTTAAAATAATACATAATTTTTATTATTTAGAAAAAGGAAAAGACTAATAAAAAGCTAACTGTAAAAAAGTATTTAATTAAATTTAAACTTTTAAAATGCAAAAAAAAAGTTTATTAAAAGTGTATAAACACACTATACCTTATAAATAAATTATCTAAATCATTTTAAATTAACTGCATTAGTAGTGTGGCTAATGTGTGCATGGGTTTATTTCAGGGTTTTCGTGGGGTCTTAAGTCTTAATTCTCAAACGCTAAATTTTAAACCTTAAGTCTTTAAAAAAACTGAAATATTGTGTTGTAGGTCTTAAATCTTTTTATTTATTTTAAAAAAAATCTTTTTTAACTTAAAAAACTTTAACTTAATTTTCCTTTTTCATGTATAGCTACCAAATTTGGCCATTAACACCCATTCGATCACCAACATTTCACTTTTTATTAAAAAATAGCATTTAATTTTAACTACAATTAATTACATTTGTTTAAAAGTTCTTTATTTATTTACTGCTGAGGGTACTGACCTGACCTTTTTCTTTCATTATTAAATATAATAAAATGCAATTGTTACAATACAATGATTATTAAATTCTAATCATTTTTAGATAGGACTGATAGGTCAAGTGAAAATCTTTTCCAAATGGGATATTTGAAAAAAAATCCTTTGCATTAAGCCCCGTATGTTCAAAATTTCATTCATAATGGTCTAAAAATGTCTCGAATTTAACTTTGTGAAACCTGCAGAAACCCTAAATATTTATAAAGCGCAATATAACAACAGTTGTTGAACATTGTGCTGTACACAAATTGTGATAAAATGATCAAATAAGACTAAAGGACTTAAACAACATACAATACATACAACACGAAACAAAAAACAGCAAGCTCAGCTAACTCTGGTGTTAAAAGCCTTTTCTATAGGTGAAGGTTTAGTTTCCCCCTTGAAAAGTTTCCCTGTGGGGCACGCAGTGGAAAAGGTCCGGTCTCCCTTTTACTTTAACTCTGATCTGGGAACTATTAACAATTTCTAAATCGATGACCTTAAACATCGAGCAAATTTGTTAAGTCACGCATTCAGAAAGATAAGAAGGTGCCAAACCATTTAAAACATTAAAAACAGAGAAAAATGCTAAACCTTATTCTAAAACACACCGGGGACCAGTGCAGAAAGTAAGACGGGGGTGATGTGCTCAAATTTTTCGAGTGCCAGTAAAATGTCTAGCAGCTGCGCTTTGGACCACTTGCAGGGGATTTATATAGGATTGACCAAGTCAAGTTTAAATTGAATTGCAGTAATCCAACATGAAGCTATAAAATCTAACTGTCTATTAAGAAAATAAAATTTATAAATAAAACAAGACACAAAACAAATATTTTATTCTCTTTATTCATTATAAATCTTTTAAATAATAAAATACAGATTTCTGTATCATCATCCTGTTTATTATAGTCCACAATATAAACAGTCCAGTACTTTCACACATGCTGTAGAAAACCCTTATACAGTCTCAATTAATTATTAATAATTAAAATACTTTTTCAAGCAGTTATTCAAATCATGTGTCTGTGTGCGCATTTATGTAAACATGTATTCTTCTCTGCCATAAATGATGTTATATGAGCTGGATAAACGTACTTAGGACATTTATAAATGTTAAATTATACTTATGTGTGTAATACTGAACATTGCATAAGGGAGTGTAATCTGTTTTCAAAATACTCTTCTGTACATTTTATTAAGAAATAATCTCCATGCATATTAATCGCACAATAATTCAAGCTTCAACATATTATTTCTGTCCTTCCAGATCCAGAACTTCCAGAAACAGCAGGAAGATGCCCATGCAGTTCCTCAAATCTGCCTTTCAAGATGACAAGTTAGATGATTGGTCCACAGATGAGGTCTGGTCACTCATAATCACTTTCTTCTTATTGTTTTCAGCATTTCTACACAGGATAATCCAGTATCTTGTCTAATCTGGTCTGTTTTTTTAATGTTGTATGTCCAAAACTTTTTCTTGCTTCAGATGAGATTCATGCAAGCCTGTAGACGAGATGCATTGTTTGAATAATTGATAAAATGCACACTTCTGAATTAGCTATTTTAATATTTACCTAATTTAAAAAAATATATAAAATAGGAAAGTATTTTAATCTGTATTAGTATATGTTTTTGTATTTTTTTTTTATGAGGTCATAATATGCTTTTGTACTGTGTATATAAGATGTACACTTCCTGACAGAAGTCTTGTCGTGTATCCCAGATGTACAGTAAGAGCAGCAAATAATAACTTGACTTCTAGTTGATCATTTGGAAGGGTCAGAAGGTGGATTTTTCTGATGAATCATCTGTTGATCTGCATCTCAATCATCACAAATACTGCAGAAGACCTACTGGAATCCGCATGGACCCAAGGTTTTCACAGAAATCAAGTTTGGTAAAGGAAAAATCATGGTTTGGGGTTACATTCAGTATAAGGGTGTGCGAGAGATCTGCTGTGGATGGCAACATCAACAGCCTGAGGTATCAAGACATCTGTTCTGCCCATTACATTACAAACCACAGGAGAGGGACAATTCTCCAGCAGGATAGCGCTCCTGCTCATACTTCAGCCTCCACATCAAAACTCCTGAAAGCAAAGAAGGTCAAGCTGCTCCAGGATTGGCCAGCCCAGTCACCAGACATGAACATTACTGAGATGGAGGAGGCTTTGAAGATGAATTCAGATAATCTCGATGAACTCTGGGAGTCCTGCAGGAACGCTTTCTTTGCCATTCCAGACTAATTTATTAATCAGTGATTTGAGTCATGTCAGAGATGTATGGATGCAGTCCTCCAAACTCATGATGGAGTCAGACACAATATTCATTCTGTCTCCACTGCAGCAGGACTTTATATTCTATACTGGACATTATTTCTGTTCAGTGACGAGACTTTAGTCTAAGCAAAGTTAAACCTTACTGTCCTATTTAAATCATTAAATCATATTCTGGTCAAATAAGCATACTCTAGAGGCCTTTGCCTTTCATATAAGCCCCTTCTGATACCAGATGATCAACTAGAATTCAAGTTATTATTTGTTCTTCCTAAAACTTGGATATCCAACAAGACTTTTGTCAGGTAGTGTAATTGTAATATAATCCCCAGAATATGTCTGTGAAGTTTCAGCTCAATATCTCGCAGATCATATTATGCAGTGAAAATGTCAATTTTCGTAACATTACAAATTAATGAAAGTGTAAATAAAAGCATAATACAACCTCTTTAAGAATGCAATATAAGACAGTTTGTAGTGACTCACCTCTGTCAAGGCTAAACCTCTGTTGAAGCTTTGGATCGAATCGGTTCCTCAAACTGACACTGTTGTAAGAACAGATTAGCATAATTACAATTCAGTCAGTCGAATTATTTACGTTGTAAAATATCAGCTCTGCTCTAACCCCTAGTGGAGTGGATTTTGAAATATGAGAGATAGGAGTTGCCTAGTAAACGATGCAAAATTTAGTAACTGCAAATTTAATTGGGACCACATCAACTAGGACAAACATTGATGGTATAAAACTAAAGTCTAGCACAAAGTTTCCTAACCACGTTCCTAAAGAACCTCCAGCTCTGCACATTTTTCCATAGCTGTGTCCCTAATGGCACACTGTACTTATGCACTTACACACTCAACAGCATAGTATATGTATGTAGTGTCGTTTCAAATAGACTGATTTCACGAAGCCGCCATTTTCAAAAGCGAAATCGAGGCTGCGGTGGGAAAAAACCCGGAAGTATCATTGGGAGTTACATAGGAATGTTTTGTAACTGGCTGTATATCTTATCAGCGAAGATAAAGTGACACAAATTTATAATTTCTCCACCTTCCGGGTAACCCTAAGGTCCGTTCTGAATGAATGGTGAATGTAAAAAGGGATATCAGAGCTCATTTTCAGCTAAGTTAAGGGAAATGGCACTAGTTAGTTAACGTTTTCTTTCCCAAACACACGTTTTAGATGCTATTCATCAAACTCGAGTTAATAAACTGATTCTTTCACTAAATTAGACTCCTCACGATACTGAAACAAAAGAAAGACCGGCAATTTCGTGCTAACATTTAAGGCAACTTTGATGGCTTTCTTGAAACAGCGCTGATTTGCCATTGTGTTCACGTGTTCAACAGATTTGATTGTGATTGGCTGAGAAGGTCATCAGTTCACCCACCGCTGTATACTGAGTATAAACACAGACGAGCCGAGCGATCTGCTTGATGACTCGACTGATCTTGACAGCTGCTTCGCGCTTCAGTCCGTGTATCTGTGTTTGCACTGGGTGAAGAGCGGTAAACTGAGCGCAAACCAAACACAGATACACGGAGACTAAAGCGCGAAGCCGTGAAGATCAGTCGAGTCATCCGCGCTCAGCGGCACTTCCATGTTAGCGGGAAATAGACGGGTTTAAAACTTCAGTACCAGGACAACACTATTACAGACAACACGAGGGTGTGCTGCAGAGGACTGCAGTGTTTTATCACTCACCGGGTTACACAGGCTGAAGCAGGAAAGCGTCCTCACAGTGTTTAACTAGTGCCATGAGCTGAAGCCTAGGAGGACACTTAAGCGTATCACTGAGATTGTGATCTTGTTTGATGCTAAATTGATTTTAATTGTTTAAAATAAACTTACTAAATAATAATAAAAAAAGTGATGGTTACACCATTTCTGCATTTTGAAATCTCTGCAACAGCTGGAGGCTTATAGTACACGGCATGTTACTGCAATGTTTACAGTGCTGGACCTATACTTCAGGGTTTCTTCCCACCGCAGCCTCGCTTTGATTATTTAAAATGGCGGCCGCGTGAAATAAGCGTATTGAGCACTAATGTTTTTTTACTAAGTGGAAATTTAAACCGTTTCCCAGATGACATTTGACAGTTGCCAAAACAGTGAAATAAATGACCAAACTATCAAATAATACCTGCCATGAGTATAACCGCATTCACCATCGGGAGGCGCAATAATCAATCCTCTCATAGGAGAATTTTGCTTCCACAATCCAAAATAAATAAAGTAATCCAACATGTGTGCCCGATAGCTCCGCCCCTTCCACTACGTGGGCAAACCTGCAGTCGTTGAGTGTGTGAACTGTCCATCATTCCACACTTTATTTTACTGGTTGAATAAGTGCATCATCCGGGTAATTAAAATACACTTATTATTTTTAGTTTTCAGTGTGAACGCTCTACTTACACTATTTACTCTACAAAATGGCATAGAATAGTGCGCAAGTATGCAATTTGAGACACACCTCATGTTTCTTTAACCAAACACACCTGATTTAGATCATCGGCTCATTAGCAGAGACTGTCAATTACACCCATGAAAGCTCTTTCAAAGGAGACACCCAAAACATGTAGTGTTGGTGTTCCTTCAGGAATGTGGTTGAGAAACACGGCTCTTGCATGTATAGATATCAACAGAACTAAAGTTGAGTCAATGTGATCAGAAAACAAAATAATAATAATAAAACCTAGCAGAAATTAGATGTGAACAAACCTGAATGGTTTTTAGTGTATATCATCACAATATAGATGGGAATAAAACTTAAAGTAAAAAAAGCCAATTTAATATATGTATTTTACTTGAGATCCACTGATGTAAATTAAAGAAAGTGTGAAATGAAGTATTCTTTATAGTAATTTAAAATATGTAACTCAAAATGGCAAAAATCTCAAATCATATTGACCAGTGAATGAAAAAAAAATCAGCTTGTAGTGACTGGGCTTAAATGGTTATTTTATGGATTAAAATGGATTATACCCATAAATAAAAATGTACTCACTATTTACTCCCCGTCAAGTGTTTTCAAACCTTTGAGTTTCTTTATTCTGTTGAACACAAAAGAAGATATTTATATTTATGTTGAACAAAAAAATAATACAATGGACTTCAATGGTGACAGGTTTTCAACGTTTTTCCAATTATCTTCTTTTGTGTTCAACAGTCAGAACTTGAGAGAATTTTCAGTTTTGAGTGAGAACTGTAGTATCACTGTTTTATCATGCAAGTCAGCATCTTTATTTGCTTATAAATGTTGTGTATGAGAGTTCACTGAGTGCAACACCTAATACACAAACACTTCAATGAACATCTACACATAGACTTCATCACTTATATGCTTTATAACTGCAGTTTGACTGTGTTTATAAATAATATGGTGTTAAAAGCTATTAGATACCATAATTAATAAAGTTTTTGTCATTATAAATGTTTTGTAAAACTGCTTTAAAATGACAATTATGTGAAAAGCGCTATACAAATAGATTTGAATTGAGTTGTAATGGAAAAGAGCTGGGATGTGTTTATTTCTCCACCTTGAGAGTGCCGTGAGCCTCTGTTTGTGGACTGAGCATTTTTCTGGACAGGGCAGGAGAGCTGTAATGGATGGAGTGAGCAGGTGACGCTGAAGATCTGGAGTGAAGCAATGATGAAACTGATGACCTTCGACGTCCTGTGGAGCAGGTATGATCCGCACAGCCAGTCAAACCTGCGTTTTCCACCAATGACTCTATCAGGAACACATGGAGTGATGCTTTTATTAATAAGCAATTACTTCCTGAATTATTTGCCCCCTGTATTGTTTTTCCCCAAGTTTTGTTTAATGGAAAGCATATTATTAATAAGATAATTAATAAATTATCTATTAATAATAAATAATTAATAACTCATTTATAATAACTGGTTTCTTTTCTCTTTGCCATGATGACAGCACATAATATTTGACTAGATATTTTTCAAGGTACTAGTATTCAGCTTAAAGTGACATTTAAAGGCTTAACTAGGTTAATTAGGGTAATTAGGCAAGTTATTGCATAACAGTGGTTTGTTTTGTAGACAATCCAAAACTAATAGCTTAAGGGGGCTAATAATATTGATCTTAAAATGGGTTTAAAACAATTAAAAACTGCTTTTATTCTAGCCGAAAAAAAATACAAATAAAACTTTCTCCAGAAGAAAAAATATTATGGTAAAGACTGTGGAAAAAATCCTCAAAATGTTGAACATCATTTAAGAAATATTTAAAAAAGAAAAATAAATTCACAGGATTAATAATTCTGACTTTAACTGTACTGTAAAATTTTGACTTTACTGTAAAAAAATTTTTTCTCTATAATTGAACTCTGCTACCATATTTTCCTTGGAAGACGCTGGGAGACATCGAGCCCCGCCCTGAAGAAGAAGATGATTGGCTGCCTGCAGTTGATGTGGTGCTGCCAGAGCCAATGGAATCTGGCCGTGGTAAAGCCCCGCCCCTCTGAAGGCCAGACACCAGAGGATTGGGTGTTTTCAGTATTCCTACGAGTTCTGTCAGAAGAGAAAAGTCACAGAAAGTTCAGGTATTAATTAAAAACTTTGCTTTTTATTTGTAGCTTATATCATCTGCGGCAGTGGGGGTCAAGAGACAACGAGGGGGGGGGGGGGGGGTTCCTTGGTTTTTTATATATATATATTTTTTATATATATATATAAGCCATCAGCCTTTGAATTTTTCGCCATATGATTGCGACCCCTGGTGTTGTTATGCCAGATCACAGGTGTCAAATCCAGTTCCTTGAGGGGCACAGCTCCTGTACACTTCCTGTAGGTTTTTCAACAAATCTAAAGGACTCAATTAGTTTGATCAGTTGTGCTTAATTAGGGTTGGAACTAAACTGTACAGAGCAGTAACTGAACTTGACACTTGTGCGCTAGATTAACGACACAGCAAAAGTGTTAGTTGCAGCAGATTGGTTTTACAGCACCATGTTAAAACTTTGACACCTTTACGGCACCCACATACATGAAAAAAAAAAATAAAGGCCACGACTGAACATGGAGGATGATCTCCAAGCGGTGGTCTTCAAAATAAATCTTGCGCATTAAGTCTGTAAATAAGTTGTAAAATGTAAATTATAAATAAGTCTGTTACACTTTTTTTGTGTTGTCAATATGCTCATGTTGATATAGTTTCTATTGGCGTGTGCAATGAACGCCTGTTCTATGGCAGTGGTTTTCAATTCTAGTACCCCCTTGTGTAAATAAGAAACTAGGCATGCACGATATTGGAAAAACTGACCTTGCAATATTTTGTAGTTATGTGATCATATAGCTTATATTTCTTTCTTTACAAATTGTTTTTAAAGATTGAATTTATATGTAATATATACATTTATGGGGACGAATGTGGAACCATTTTCACAAATCAGAGAGATATCTGATCAAAGAAAAGGCATGAAGTGACCAGGGCCTGATGATGTATTAGATGATCATATATTTTACAAGAAAAGAGTTTATTTTGCCAACATTGCAACAGAAATTAAATTGTGAAGCTTTGCTGTGTAAAGCGACAACTTTAAAGGATAGTTCACCTTAAAATAAAAATCCATCATTAACTCAAAAAGATATTGTGAAGAATGTTGATAGCCAAAAGTGTCAAATTCACTATTTTTCATGCACGTAGTGGAAGTCAACAAGAGCGAAAAAGCTTTTCGAAGAGTATATTTCATGCTCCACTTCTAGTCCAAATATCTACAAATTCTTAAATCAAGAAGCATTTTAAGGACAAGCACAAAATATTTTCTAGTTCTCAAAAATAAAATGCTAAAACTTGAAAAAAAAAGCTAAATAATCTGCCAATTGAGCAAACAAAATAATCTTATGTCAAAAGAAAAAAGAAGAATATTTTGCTTGCCCCATTGGCAGATTATTAAGCTTGTTTTAAGGAAAACTCAATTTCGGCATATTTTTCTTTAAAACAAGACAATATTTTATGCTTGTCTGAGAAAATGCTTGTAGATAATCAGACTAGAAACGAGACAAAAACTCTTAAGTAAGAACAGCATTTTTGCAGCGTACTAAAGAAAGAAAGATGTTTTGGTGAACTGGCCCTTTAAGTTCAAGCAGAAGCTGCTGTCAGCCTGCGCACAAGTGTTAAGTGGACATCATTATAGCTGGCGCCAGCTCAATTGCTTGAATTAATTAGTTGCAGATTAATTAGGGTGAATATCACAGTGTAATTACTATTGGAGACTCAAGCCGCACCTGGAAGAGTTTGTGCTTTGAGACTTTGAGAGAAAAAAATCTGCCTAATGAGGAAAGACAACAGAAGAGAAGTCGCCTTTAACATAAAAATGCATTGAGCTTTTGTTTTAATTCCTAGCAAGACTTTTAATCCTAATTAACTTGACATTTGGGGATATTCTTCAAACTGTTTCCATCATTTTATTTCTCTGAGTGAAGTAAGTGTTTCATGCATTTGCTTTCAGTGTGTGATTGGCTGATAAATACCTCTTCCTGTGACATCACCATTCACAGTGTGATTGACAGCTGCGTTTCTGGGCTGAATGTCTACAAAAGGTTTGCAGCCGGTTCCCATGAACAACCTCTCCTGTCTCCTCAACTCTGAAACACAAAAATCAGCAAGTCTTGTCAATCTGTGGAGATATATCCTCAAACAATTGTGTTGAAACAATTTTTGCATAGGAATTATAGGTAAAGTGTACAATTATGCTGAAATAAACTACCGAGGACGGGTCGGGTAAATCTTCAAAGGGGAACTGTGTCCTTTATAACCTCATTCACATCACCCTGGCTACGCTGTTTCACTTTCTTAACAATAAAATGAAAACATAAGAAAATGGCTATTTTCATTTCGATATTAGCAATTTAACAGACACCAAAAATGTTGAGGCGTCATGTAGCTACATATTTATATGACCATCATCTTCACTGTATGCATATTTATAACAACACGAACACCACGTTATAACATTACTGCCTCCTTTCATTTTCATTGAAAAATACTAAACATACTGTTTTCTCTTTGGCTGAATATCAGTTTTAATAATCAATAATGGCAATCAATAATACACTATAAGAAAATAAAGGTAAGCAATCAGTGTACGTGGTTACATAAGTTCATTTATTAGCTTATGTTTGCGCTCTGCCAAAACACGTTACCTGATAGATTAAAAGACTGAAGAGTCATTAAACACCGAAAAGTCATAAGTAGGGCCAGATGGAATCTGCAGACATTTTTTGATATTTCAGCTGAGAATTTTGGTAAAAATCTGCAGATTTCTGCGGAATTATGTTGGGAGTATCATAACTAAAACATTAAAATGTGAAATAAAAAATAATAACTTAATGTTTAAAATGCAAATCCAATTAGATTTACTTTATTTGGTAAACAAAGCAAGTCTCTCATATAATATCTCTACTAAAAGAGAAAATATTACTTTACAAACTGCATTGTACATAAATCAGATGAACATTTTTATATTAGTCAATAATATTGCTATAATTAATTAAAAAACTAAATAAACTTAGATTTACACAAGTAAATAAACAGAATTAACGATGGGCTAAAAATTTGCGGCCTAGTCATAAGATAGGACATTTAACAACTAGTGAGATGAGATCCAGCGGTATATCCTTGAACTGACCGACCTGCGCTGCTCTCACCTGCGGTTTTGTGCTCAAAGCACCTGCTGACTGCCTGGAGCTCAGACCTCCACATGCAGTACGCTGCAGAACATGCCAGTGTGTGTATGTGTGTGTGTGATCACATGTGCGGTTTCAACGATGTAGTGTGGATGGAGATCTTTTCAGAAACGCCAGTGTGGACGTGGATCTTTTTCATTCTAATACGCTGTTTTAAAATTGAAACGTAATGGTGTATACGAGGCCTGAGTTTAACTCAATTTTCTCAATACTATAGAAAATCAAAAAATGTCTTGTGATGCGGTAATATGCAAAATGCATTGTTATCTTGTTAAACCTAATCTTATAAAACTGCTATCGAAAAAGTATTGTTCAGGAACTGGTATCGGAACTGGTATCAGAATTTTGCATGTCACGATTTTGCCAAGTCCGATGCGATCTTGCATTAACATCTATGTTGATCCTGAAACATCCTTTTTGTTCAAAAATGTAATCCATGCTTATTCCCTACACCTAAACCCCAACATACTGTAAGTGTAAACTATACATAAAATCAGAGAATAATAGGTGGATAACAATCAGGGCCGGAGCAAGCTGAACTGCCGCTCTAGGCAAAGGACGGTAACGCCGCCCTCAACCCTAATGTGAAAGCGGGGGGTTGGGGCGCCGCGGATATAACTGAGGGCGCGGGTGGTGAGGGTAGTGTCCGGGACGCCGCCCTCTCTATTCTACTGCACTAGACGCGGATATAACTGAGGGCGCGGGTGGTGAGGTTAGTGTCCGGGACGCCGCCCTCTCCATTCTACTGCACTAGACGCGGATATAACTGAGGGTGCGGGTGGTGAGGGTAGTGTCGTGGACGCCGCCCTCTCTATTCTACTGCACTAGACGTGGATATAACTGAGGGCGCGGGTGGTGAGGGTAGTGTCGTGGACGCCGCCCTCTCTATTCTACTGCACTAGACGCGGATATAACTGAGGGCGCGGGTGGTGAGGGTAGTGTCGTGGACGCCGCCCTCTCTATTCTACTGCACTAGACGCGGATATAACTGAGGGCGCGGGTGGTGAGGGTAGTGTCGTGGACGCCGCCCTCTCTATTCTACTGCACTAGACGCGGATATAACTGAGGGCGCGGGTGGTGAGGGTAGTGTCGTGGACGCCGCCCTCTCTATTCTACTGCACTAGACGCGGATATAACTGAGGGCGCGGGTGGTGAGGGTAGTGTTGCGGACGCTGCCCTCTCCATTCTACCGCACTAGACGCGGATATAGCTGAGGGCGCGGGTGGTGAGGGTAGTGTCGTGGACGCCGCCCTCTCTATTCTACTGCACTAGACGTGGATATAACTGAGGGCGCGGGTGGTGAGGGTAGTGTCGTGGACGCCGCCCTCTCTATTCTACTGCACTAGACGCGGATATAACTGAGGGCGCGGGTGGTGAGGGTAGTGTCGTGGACGCCGCCCTCTCTATTCTACTGCACTAGACGCGGATATAACTGAGGGCGCGGGTGGTGAGGGTAGTGTCGTGGACGCCGCCCTCTCTATTCTACTGCACTAGACGCGGATATAACTGAGGGCGCGGGTGGTGAGGGTAGTGTCGCGGACGCTGTCCTCTCCATTCTACCGCACTAGACGCGGATATAGCTGAGGGCGCAGGTGGTGAGGGTATTGTCGGGTATGCCGCCCTCTCTATTCTGCCACCCTAGGCCGCCTCTATGGATGCGCCGGCCCTGATAACAATCATGTAGAAGTGCATAAACCTGTAAGCCTAAACTTAATAGAAACGGTAAACATATTACTTTCAAGTTTTTTTTTTTCTTTCCTCAATTGGTGAAGTTTTGTTCCTCACCACTGTTGCCACTGGCTTGCTTGGTTTGGGACTTGTGGAGCTGCGCATCGATGGTTTTGCTCTTCAGTGTTTGGACTTACAGCAATGAAAATTAAACCACACTGAACTAAACTTCAACTCTGAAAACTGGACTGACAGTTTCAATTTACAAGAACTTCTAAAAGTGCTATAGATATAAAGATGAGTTGTATTGAATTTACAGATGTTTGACAGTCAGCTTACTGCACATACTGCTATATTAGACCAATTATGCACACCAAAGGTAATGCAGTCATTACACCTCAGGTGTGCATTGTTTTCTTTTAATTCAATGGACCGGAGTCAGTTACTCTGATAATACTATGGTAATACCACACCTAAAGTCACTGTTCAGATGTTGTATTTCAGACAATAGTTCTCAAACCGCTCCTGCGTGTAGCGCTGGTTTCTTACACATCTCATCCAGAGCATTCTGTTGTGTGTTGATGTGATTTTTGACTATGGTAGCTGTAAATTGAGCATAATTAATTAATTGAGCATGTAGTATAAATATAATTACTTTTGCACTTTACATGCTGTGATATAAAGTAAAAAGTATTTTCTCCACTGGTGTTGATTTATTTAAGACACCAGAGAGCAACACACAGCGATTGCCAGTCTGCATTATTCTTTACTTGTACTGCTCTTTGTAGATTGTTAATCAGTATGTAAATTAACTAATGCATTTTTGCTCTTTCATTTGCTCTTAATCTGTCTGTGCATCACTTTTTTGTTATTTTTTGTAGATTTTTTTTGTAGATTTTTAGCTCTTTTATTGGGTTGTGCCTTCATGCTTATTTGCTGTTCAGTAAATCTGGCCCTCTGAATACCTGATTTAGCATGCATTATGGTGCTCTGACCTCTGCTCTTGAGGGCTTGTTCCCACAGTATGTGCTCCAGGTCTGTGGTCCAGGCATGTTTGATGTCCCGTGTCTCCGCCTGGAGGATGTAGGTGTCCTGCGATCGTCGTCTTCTGAACCAAATCTCGAAACTCCGGCCGCTGAGACCACATGACTGCGTCATGCCAATCTCACAGGTCTGTGCAGAAAACAACATTCAACACTATTTACAAGCTAATCTGAAGAGAGAGACGGCATACGTTTTCAGGGTTTATACGGGTGCTGGATATGCGTGAAAATGCTTGAATGTTAATCTGGTGTTTTTAAGGTTTGAAAAGAGCTTAATGTATTTATTGCTTTTAAAATAGTGTGCCTTATTAAATAGGTAATAATAATTCAAAATTAAAATAAAATTTATCTCAATAAGGAGAGTAAATAACATTAATTCAATATTGTGCTTGGGACAAACATAGCATATTCTTAGTATACTACACTATACTATACTATACTCAGTCCCTCCAGGATTTCGGGAAATAAAAATAGTTTTTTTGCGACAAAAATCGGTTTGATTATGTGGTGAGATTTTTCAAGATTTGCTGCAAATTTCACAGCATTTCTTTTGTTTTTCAGTTAAAATACACACAAATTATACCTTAATTCAGTGGTAGGGAACCTGTGGCTCTCCAGCTGTCTTCCTTCAATATTATTTTACCATTTAAAAAAAAACTATAACCATCACTAAAAATCAGTTTCTTATCGAAAATACAATTGCAATCCCCTTTTGAATTGTATCTTATACAGCACAATGAATTAGCACTCAGTTAACAATAAAAGGACAATTCGACCAATGTGCATTTTTGGCAATGTGGATAAACTTGAATTGTGACACCAATAAAAGGTAAACAACTTGCGTTTCTTAGGTAACTTAGAACATTTATGAGTGGTGATGGTGAAAATAAAACTACTGTAAATTATTCTTTCTTCATTCATGGACTTGCTCAACAATTGATGCTTCATATTTGTTTATTTTTGAGTTGTACATAGACATAAATTAAGGTTTTGTTAAAACCTTGTATTATTTATAGTAATATAATAATAATAATAATGATATAGTATTAGTAGTAATACTATAATTTTTTTTGTAATTTATAGTGATACAGTAGCAAATGCATTTTAAAGAGGCATTTTGAGATATACAGTTGAAGTCAAAATTATTAGCCCCCTTTATATTTTTTAAAAAATATTTCCCAAATGATGTTTAACAAAGCAAGGAAATTTTCACAGTATGTCTGATAATATTTTCTCTTCTGGGGGAAGTCTCATTTGTTTTTATTTCAGCTAGAATAAAAGCAGTTTTTAATTTTTAGAAACCATTTTAAGGTCAAAATTCTTAGCCAAAAAAAAATTCTTTTCGAAAACAAAAATTAGAAATTGGGAAAGAAAATAAACAGGGGGCTAAAAATTCTGACTTCAACTGTATATACATCCAATTGGCTCTTTTAAACAAAAAAACTGGAAAAAACAGAAATGGCTCTTTGCTAAAAAAAGGCTTCCCGACCCCTGCCTTAATTTATTAATTTCTTGACCTCCAGAACCATTCATTTCTGTAATTTATATAAAGAAAACACTGAGAGAAGTTGGACTTTTTCCCTAAAGCTGCTGTATTATTTTCTCTGATGAGGTTTGACGGTTGCCAAATTAGTGAAATAAATGACCAAAGTACCAAATAATACCTGCCGTGAGTATAACTGCATTCACCATCAGGAGGCGCTATAATCGGTCTTGTTGGAGAATTTGCTTTTACAATTAAAAATACATTGTAATCCAACAGGAGTGCCTGAAAGCTCCGCTCCTTCTGCTACGTGAGCAAAGCAGTGGCCGTTGAGTGCGTGGAGTGTCCAACATTACACACTTTATTTTATCAGCTGAATAAGTGCATCATCTGGGTATTTAAAGTGCACTTATTATCTTTAGAGTTGTCAGTGTAAAAGCACAATATATACCCCAAAATGGCATAGAATAGTGCGTAAGTATGTGATTTGGTATGCACCATGTGTGTGTGTGAGAGAGAAGGCTACACATGACAACAGGATGCTTGTATACAAGATGTAGAAGTCTAGTGAGTGATACAACTAAATGAAACATTGATTTTTCATGAACCTACCTTGATAGACAGTTTGTAAACATAAACATCGTCTCCTCTGTCGTTTTTTTTGGTCTTGGTGAAGAGAATGACGTCTTGGAAGAGAAACACTCGCCTGAGGGAACGTTTCTTACGGAAAATTACCCAGAATTCATCCTGCCGAATCAGCTGGCCCTGCTCGTTCAGATTTAGCTGAAGAAACGTGGAGAAAAGAAAATATTTTCAGAACTTTAATATTGTTTCTTGTGTAAGAATTTCATTTCTTTTTTTCTTTCCTTGATTTTTTTAACCTTATTTCCCTTCCTTTATTTCTTTCATTCCTTTTTTCCATTTCTTATTTCCCTACCTTTGATTATTTCTTTCCCTTATTCCTTCCTTTCTATCCATCCCTTCATTTATTTCTTTGCTTTCTTCCTTCCTTTCTTTTTTCCCTTATTTCCCTGCCTTCGTTCATTTCTTTCCTTCCCTCCTTCCTTCCTTTATTCCCTCCTTTATTCCTTCCTTTTTCCCCCATTGTTCATTTCTTTGCTTGCTTCCCTTCCTTTTTTTCTTCCCTTTTTCTTTCTTCTCTCCTTCCTTGATTCCTTCCTGTCATTCCTTATTTCCCTACCTTCGTTTATTTCTTTACTTTCTTCCTTCCTTTCTTTGTTTCCTTCCCTTCATTATCTTCTTTGCTTGCATGATTCCCTTCCTTCCTTCCTTCCTTCCCTTATTTCCCTACCTTCGTTCATTTCTTTCCTTCCTTTCCTTCTCTCCTTCCGTTAATTTTTTTTGCTTTCTTTCTTCCTTTCTTTTCTTATTTCCCTTATCTCATTCATTTCCTTCCTTCATTCCTTCCTTTCCCTCCCTTTTTTTGCTTTCTTCTTTTCTTTTTTTATTTACCTACCTTCGTTCATTTCTTTCCTTCCTTCCTTCCTTCCTTATTTTCCCTCCCTTCGTATATTTCTTTGCTTCCTTTTTTTTTTCTCCTTTTCTTCCTTCCTTTCTTATTCCACAGGAAGTAATCCTATGAGTGTATAGTAGCCAAACTGCATTTCCACAGCATTTGCTGTTATATTTTTCTTCTGTAGAAAGTCTTATTTATTTTAGTTTGGCTGTAATAAAAGCTGATTTATTTTATGTATTTTAAAAAATTATATAAAATAATAACCTGCCTAGTTAACCTAGTTACGCCTTTAAATGTCACTTTAAGCTAAATACTAGTATCTTGAGAAATAACTAGTAAAATATTATGTGCTTTCATCATGGCAAACAGAATAAATTAGTTATTATAAATTAATCGTTTAAAATGTGTTAGACTGTAAACAGCACTTAGGAAATATTTGTAAAGGAATAAACATTTTACAGTACATTTTACAATAATTTTGTCCCAAAAAAGGATTTATTTCTCCAGAATCATGCAGCCCTAATGAAAGTCCCACTAACATCACAGTCTCTGATGGCGTCCATGGTGAGCAGGTCATTTCCGTGCCTCAGCTGGAATCGCACCACCTCCAGCGCTGCCTGGATCTCCTCCCGCTCGGGGCTCTGATCAGACACACACTCGTCCAGGATCTCCTGCAGCAGCAGACTGTATTTGCTGATCCTCTGCACCGGCTTCAGCAGGTATGAGGAGAGATCCATGCTGTCACCCAACTCAAGCTGCTTACGCTGAACACAACACACCACACCAGAAGAGGGGTTAGGGTCTATTACGGTCTTGTGGATGGATGTATGGTAGTGTGTATGTATGATTGTATAGTTGTAAGTATGGTCGGTTGCATGTATGTACGGTCGGTTGCATGTATGTCCGGTTGTGTTGTGTTAATATTAAAATAAAAATACTATTTTTAATTACTAATAATTAAAAAAAAATTTTTAGCTGTATTTTATATCTATATTTAATAATATTAAGTAATATAATAATGCATTGTTTTTAACCTAGAGTGCTACAATATGTAATGTGATGTATATAAATAATATTACAAAACGTATAGAATCTTGTATTATATTATACTTGTATTATTGAGTAAAAAAGTGTTTATATATGTATGTCTTTATATATTTGTGTATGTAAATATATTTGTGTGTAATTTAAATTTGTATTTTATATTTAATTACATTTAACAGATGCTTTTGTCCAATTAATGTGTGTAAAATAATATTCATTACAATTTATGTTATTTAGTTTTATTGATAAGATAAAACAATAATTTAGTATTAGTAAAAACAAGTAATTTTTATTAGAAGATCATTATATCTGATAGTATCACCATTTAAATGCAGATTTGTTTCGCAAACCTTGAATTCCTTACCTTGAAGTATCTGTGGTGTTGGATCAGTGCATCAGATTGAGGTTTGTTTTTGCTGTAAAGTGCGTAAAGTCCAAAACTCTCCCTCTGTTTGAGTAGATGTTTGTACAAAAGTGAACTCAGACTGTGTAAACGTTTGAAAGCATTATGATTATTATAACAGTATATATTGTTGTCTTACGTGATTGAGGAAGCAGCGTCCCGCTCTCAGCGGCTCCGCTTGACAGGCCTGCAGCTCCTGCTGGAAGTGCTGACAGTGAAAGTCGTAGAGTTTTTCCAGATTACCGAAGATTCGCCCTCGTTGGCCGCGCAGATCCTGCGGGACATCCGGTCTGGACAGCAAGGGGTAATAATGAGTCAAGATGTATCCCAGAGAGCGGACATATTCCACCTCCGTCAGCAGGAGCTCCTCCATGATCCGCTGAAGCTTCCTGTTGAGGAAATACAGGTCAGAACTTATTTCTGAAATTAGAAAACTCAGTAGATCCAAAGGGTAATGATATGTATATACGATTCAATGTACAGCCGACAAAATCTTATGAATAGAACACAATCTAGGCACATGGCACTATGTTAGAGCTATATTTAGGATGGTATTTACATGCTATTTAAATCTAGGTTTTTTTTAAAATAATAATTTCTATCCGCTTGTTAAGTAGTGACGTGTTTGTGACGTATGTAATACTGTTTCCGGGTCCAAGCCGCCATTCATTTGAGTGGAGAAATCATTCGTTTATGATCGCGTTTTATTCCAATCAACGATCTCTGGGCTTGCTACATAACAAATATCAAAAATTTAACAATTTATAAAAAAATTAATCACTTTCTGGCCATCGGATATTAGGCATGGACATATATACTGCGATCGTGATTTTCGAAAGCCTTAAATTGCTTTGTAAACGTTTATTATTACTATTTCATGAGTCTCCCCATTCAGTTGAATAGAGCGCTTGGACCTGGAAGCAGCTTCGCATGACATTACACTTAACAAGCGGATAAACATGACCAGACATGTTTGCCATGTTGTTTACAATTGTCACATAAAGTCCTTATGTGACCCTGGACCACAAAACAAGTCATATATGTACATTTTGGGAAATTGAGATTTAAACGTAACTTGAAAGCTGAATAATTAAGTTTTCTATTTATGTATGGTTTGTTATGATTGGACAATATTTGGCCGAGATGCAGCTATTGGAAAAAGAAAATTGAGAGAAAATTACATTTAGAAAATCTGATATATATTACAACCCCAAATCAAAAAAGGTTGGCACAGTATTGAATATGCAAACAAAAAAAGGAAGTAGTGATTACTAAATTGTCTTTGACTTGTATTCCATTGCAGATAACATAAACACAAAATATTTCATGTTTTTTTTTCTGGTCAACTTCATTATAAAAGCAGCATCCAAGAAAGTTCTAGGGCCCTATCATACACCCGGCGCAGTGTGGCGCAAGGTGCGGCGCAATAGTCTTTTGGTAGTTTCAGCTTGGCGCAGGAGTCGTTTTGAGGTGTTGCGCTACGCTGTTTAAATAGCAAATGCATTAGCACTCATATGTGCGTCCATAGGCGTTCTGGTCTAAAAAGGAAGGCGTTCTGAGGCGGTCCGCTGGCGCGTTGCTATTTTGAGAAACTATAAAAGATTTTTCATTAGACCAAAACAAACTCGGTCTAAACTCCAGCGCAGAGTTGCGCCTCGCTTACACACTGCTTAATATGCACAAGAGAGCAATAGGCAAATATCTTTACATATGAAAAAAATTAAATATTAAGGATATATATAGGATATAATAAGAATAGATATAGGATATAAATATAAAGGATTAAAATATTACAAAACATATTATTTTCTAGCCTACATAAATATGAAAAATCACTGCTTTTATGTCTTCTTCATCTCGGGTGGCTTTTTCAGTTCATTCATAACAATTTGCTTTTGTATAATGTTATTATTATTAGCAGTATTATTTATTATATCCATATTTATATTTGTTTTATTAAAAACAAGCTTAGATTTGTCCGTCAGGTTTTAGACCATAAGGGGCACAGCATGTGTTTAGGATATAACTCAGGTTTTTGAGCACACTTCGTTATTATTATTAATTTATTCATTTGCTGGAAATTAGAGCTGAATTTAGAAATAGTTTTGAAACGAATATTTGCGCTTAACAAACGCAATGAATTATTTATAGACTAATTGATGTCTGTGCGTAAAGGTTTCCCTATCCACGAGCGAATGTGAAAGTAGATCCATTATCTCTCATTCTTACGCAGTAGATGCTCTGTTTAACTGTTTTCTGTTAAAAAAACTGTTAACTGTTTGCTTGTGAAATGCTCAATTTTTCCACTTAGACTTACTTTACGTCCTGTAAATAGCGAATGCGCTTATGGCGCGACGGAGCTGGCTCTTAAAGGGAATGGGAGATGAAACTCTAATTGGTTTATTCTCAAAACACACCTATAACTCATTAAGAAAATAAACTCAACCCTTTTAGACCATGCACCTTGGCGCAAAGCGGATTTTCCTGTCCTTAAATTAGCAAAAATGCGGTCTGACACGCCCTAAAAGCGTTTGCGCCCTGCGTTATGCGCTCTGCGCATGGACCGTCAAAATAGAGCCTCTAGTCTTTTAGGAGCAAAGATGGGCCGAGGATCGCCAGTTTTCAACAAAAATGTGAGAAAATGATTGAAATGTTTAAAACAATGTTCCTCAAAGAAAGATAGGAAGACATTTGGATATTTCACCTTCAACAGTGCAGAACATCATTAAAAGAATCAAGGATTCTGGAGGAATTTCAGTGTGTAAAGAACAAGGGCACAAGCCTAAGATGAACTACCGTGATCCCTCAGGCAGCACTGCATCAAGAATCCTCATTCATCTATAAGCCAGATCACCACATGGGCTCAGGACTACTGCAGCAAACCTTTGTCAAGTACCACAGTATTTAGTTACATCCACAAATGCCAGTGAAGACTGTACCATGCCAAAAGAAAGCCCTATGTTAACAGTGTCAAGAAGCACCATTAACTAATCTGGGCCCTGAGGCATCTGGGATGGACCATCACACAGTGAAAACATGTACTGTGGTCAGATGAGTCAGTATTTCTTTTGGGAGGATTGGATGCTGTGTGCTCCGGACCAAAGAAGAACAGGAGCATCCTGCATGTTTCCAGCAACAAGTCCAAAAGCCATGGTCTCTCATGGTATGGGGTTGTGTCAGTGGTCAGTCCCTTGGCAGAGGTAACTTGCACTTCTGTGATGCACCATTAATGCTGAAAGCACATACTGTAGAGATTTTGGAGCACAATATGCTGCTGCCTTTTCCAGGGATGCCTGTGCAAATTTAACAAGACAATGCGAAACCACATTCCACACACATTAGAGTCCTGCTGTGAAGGAAGAGGATACAGGTACTTGACTGGCCCGCCTACAGTCCTGACCTGTCTCCAATAGAGAATGTGTGGCGCATTTTAAAGTGCATCACGACAACAAAGACCTTAGGACATGTTTGCAGGAAGAATGTGACAAAACTACACCTGAAACCCTTCATCACTTGGTGCCTTCAACCCCTAAAAGTCTTTTAAGTGTTGTGAAAAGGAATGGCAAGATTACAAAGTGGTAAATGCTTTACTGCTACAACTTTTGTGGGAATGGAAAACGTGTTTATAATGAAAAAACAAACAAGAAAAATCACAAGGAACACATTAAAAGTTGTTGTATTGTCTGTAATAGAAACACAAGTCATTTAGAAACTATAGTTAGTATATTTCGAAATCACTACTTTTTATTTGCGTTTTTCATACTTTCCCAACTTTTTGTTGATATGGGGTTGTAGATCATGATAGGAAATTTACAATGTCTTCATTAAACAGGACCTTTAGTAAATATATTCTAATGATTTATGGCAGGGGTCATCAACTATATTTGTCAGAGGGCCAGAGTTTTACCAGACAGTCTCCTTGGGGGCCGGACTGCCAAGAAGAAAATCAAATAACAATCTCATTTTGGCTTAAAATTATGTTTAATGTTTATACTTATTACATTTCATTACAAATTAAAGGCATTTGATTCAGGCTCCCATCACCTATACCACAGTCAACCACTAGGAGTGATAGAAAATTCCCCACAAACGCGTTGAAAATGCTGCCATTTGACGAGGCGGCCATTCAGAGCTAGCTGGCTGAAATTTAGGCCGCAGGCGATGTGAAGGCGGCTCTCCGGTGCTGAAAGCCTGAGCGCATTTTGGGTATCTCGTCCCGAGACCTATGACACATTGAAAAGTCTGACAACAGCCAAGCCTAATGTGAAAACGTTGGTGTGAGAGGGGAAATGTAACTTTAGCCATTAATTAAGCACTGTGAGTAGCCCGTTCAGCATTGTGATTTGATTCAAGTCCACTTAACGTTTCATTTGATGTGCGAACTTTATTTGTGACCTGTTTTGTTCTGGTACCAGGTTATTTATTTACCATGCTGTTTTAAGTTGCCTTGTCCTGTACTGAGGAGTCTGCTAGTTTCAAGCATGTTGTTGAGACTTAAAAATTAAAAAACCTGTTAAGTTAGGGCATGAGGAAAATTATGCCTCCCTTTTTTTTTTTTTTTTTTTTTTAAACCTGTTTGAAACGATAAATGCTTAACGCCGCATAGTCTGTCCTCATTTTGGAGTGTAGCCTTAATATAGGCAAATGGTAGTTATTCTGACAAGAGACTCAGTTGTTGTTATTTTTAGTTACTTTAATAGTGTGGACCACAATTTTCTTAATATAGGCAAATGGTAGTTATTATGGTAGTTAATTTTCTTTTTGATCCTCACAATTTTGGAATCCAGTCGCGGGCCGGATTAAACAGCTCAGCGGGCCGGATTTGGCCCGCGGGCTGCCAGTTGATGATCAGTGATTTATGGCATAAAAATCTATAAATGCGCCCCATACAGTGGATTTTTAGATACTCAAATGTACATATACATTTTTTTAAAGATTGGTTTTGTGCTCCAGAATTACATTTGCTCTTTGTACTGTACCTTTACCTTTCCCACACCAGTGAAAGCTTTTGGAGAGAGGGAAAACAATAGCACATGAAAAGTATTGAGATTTGTTTTTTACTATTAAACACCAGTGTTCAAATATTTGTAGTTAGTAGTTTTTTATTTTTATTTTAAAGAAGGACTGATAGACCTGCCCTAAATGACTGATTACCCCACCCTAAATGACTGATAAATAACTTGAGTTGTGCCGTTTAATTTACAGTTTTACAAAGTATGTTGTATACTGCAAATTCAAAAAATGGTAACATCTATAACTCATGTTTATTTTCCTCAATTAAAATCATGCACATTTTTACAGACAGGGCCGGAGTGGGACTCATTTTCAGCCCTGGAGTTTCAAGCCAGACCGGCCCACCTCAGTTCACGACTGTCTATATTAAAATAAGGTCATTTCCACTTCAGTTTCTAGTGACACTATCACGTCTTTTTCAAGAAAACAGCTGCTTTAGAAATTCAAATGTTCAAAAGCCCTAACAGTATTATATGTCTTAACAATAAAAATGTAAAAAAAAAAAAAAAAAAAAAAAAAATATATATATATATATATATATATACATATATATATATATTTACAGTGTGTGTGTGTATATATATATATATATATATATATATATATATATATATATATATATATATATATATATATATATATATATATATATATATATATATATATATATATATATATATATATATATACTTATTTTCCAGGTGAGATTCAAACACGGGTTGGACGATGTAGTAACGCAACATATTTACCACTGGTCCACTATAGCGCTAATGCAGCGAGAGGGGAAAAAAGTATTAGACTGTGACCTGCAAGACATGGTATTATTTTCTATTGATGGCTTAATCTCCCCTTTTTAGATTTCTGATCAAGTTATGTCAGATTTATTAATGTAGTGAATCATCTAATTTTCATTGAGCAGGTGTATTATTCATTAATATTAATTATTCGAATTCGCTGTTTGGGGTCGAATGATTATAGTTAACGTTACATCAACATTAACGTTAGTTAACCTGCAGGCTGCATTTTGCTCACGGGGCTGCGAGAAAATAAATAAGAAGAGAGGCGCTGCGGCAGAATAATGAAGAAAAAGAGTGAAGCTATGGTCAAATACATAAATAGATGAAAAAAGTGTGACTGCTGAGAGTGCAAGCAGCTAAGGACACCGGCCCTCTAGGCCAAAAAACGGACAGGCCCACCGGGAATTCTCCCGGTACTCCCGATTAGCCAATCCGGGCCTGTTTACAGATTGAGGATTTTCTGATCCCATAACTCCGTGGTTAGTTGCTTTGGTAAATAAATATGAACATGTTTCAATATAATGTATCTCGTATAACTCACATGCTTCTGCTGGGACTCTCGTGTGTGTCTGCAGTGTTTTCTCCTTCATTTCTCCACGCGTCTCCATGTGTGTCGTGTGTCTGAGAGCTGAAGCTGTTGTGCCGCTGGATGGGCTCAGTGATGTGCAGCTCCGAGCGCCGGCTGCTGCTTCTGTTCACTGTGTTCTGCCAAGGGAACCACTGACAGCCAACAGGAGCCCCAGAAACTGCCCTCTGCTCCGGAGCTGCTCTCCTGCTGCTGCTTCTGCCTCTCTGACTGCAGTCTGCCGGGGTTTCTCTGGTGGTCGCTGTATTTTTGGAGTCTCGTCGGGGTTTGGATCTGAAGTTGAAGCAGGTGACTGTGTTGTGGATGCTGTCTCTTGATCGATTCGCTCGCGTCTCTGATTCAGGCACACACTCGCGTTCTTCATCTTCTAGTGCTGTGTGATAGACCGACATTTTAATTTCATGATAAACATGTACAGTTGAAGTCAAAACTATTCACCCTCTTGTGAATTTTATTTCTCACCTGTAGCATCACACTGACCTGTAGTCCAGTCAGTGTGATGTCCATGGTGTGTCTGATCTCCCTCCAGCAGCATCAGTCTCTCTTCCAGCATCCTCCGCACCTCCTCACACTTCACCCAGGCAGCGTCCCACACCCGCAGAGCCCTGGAGCTGCTCAGAGCACAGGCCTGTGTCCGGACGTCCTGCAGAAGCTCTGGAGGAAACTCATCTAGCCTCTGCAGGTGAGCGTGGAGTCGAGCCCAGTGCTGCTCATCTGCAGGACAGCAGAGCGACTCCTGCTCCAAACACAGCCTGCAGTCGCCCGCCACGGCTGAAGCCTGAACACAAACACTGATCAGGGGTGGCTAACAAAAGGTACACTTTTTTTTTTTGGGCACAATAGGTGTGTTCCAAATTATGTAAGGTACTGTAAGTAAAGGTAAGCAAAGTAAGGCAAGCAAGTAAAATAAAATAAGCAAGTAAGTAAGTAAGAAAGTGAGCGATGCAGTGGCGCAGTAGGTAGTGCTGTCACCTCACAGCAAGAAGGTCGCTGAGTTGCTGGTTCAAACCTCGGCTTAGTTGGCGTTTCTGTGTGGAGTTTGCATGTTCTCCCTGCATTCGCGTGGGATTCCTCCGGGTGCTCCGGTTTCCCCCACAGTCCAAAGACATGCGGTACAGGTGAATTGGGTATTGGGCGTAGTGTGTGTGTGTGTGTGTGGATGTTTCCCAGAGATGGGTTACAGCTGAAAGGACATTCACTGTGTAAAAATTTGCTGGATAAGTTGCTGGATAAGTTGGCGGTTTACTCCGCTGTGGTGACCCCGGATAAATAAAGGGACTAAGCCGACAAGAAAATGAATGAACGAAGTAAGTTAACTATAGTAACTAAGTTAAGTTAATTAAGTAGGTTAAGTAGGGCAAATTAGTTAATTAAGGTAAGTTAAAGCAAGTGAAGTAAGTTAAGGTAAATAAAGTAACTAAGGTTAGTAAAGTAACTAAGTTAAGTTAATTAAGTAGGTTAAGTAAGGTAAGTAAAGTAAGGTAATTAAGGTAAGTTAAGGCAAGTAAAGTAAGGTAATTAAGGTAAGTTAAGGCAAGTAAGGTAATTAAGGTAAGTTAAGGCAAGTAAAGTAAGGTAATTAAGGTAAGTTAAGGCAAGTAAAGTAAGGTAATTAAGGTAAGTTAAGGCAAGTAAAGTAAGGTAATTAAGGTAAGTTAAGGCAAGTAAAGTAAGGTAATTAAGGTAAGTTAAGGCAAGTAAGGTAATTAAGGTAAGTTAAGGCAAGTAAAGTAAGGTAATTAAGGTAAGTTAAGGCAAGTAAAGTAAGGTAAGTAAAGTAAGTTAAGAAAAGGTAAGCAAAGTAAGGTAAGTTAAGGCAAATAAAGTAACCAAGGTAATTAAAAGAAATAAGGTAAGTAAAGGCAAGTAAAGTAAGGTAAATAAGGTAAAAACAGCAAGTTAGTTAAGTAAGGTTAATAACATAAGTTAAAGGTAAATCAAGAATGTAAAGTAAGTTTATTAAGGTAAGTCAAATAAAGGTATGTTAAGTAATTAAAGTAAAAATTAAAAAGTAAAAATAAGGTTAGTAAGTTAAACTACGTAAGGTAGGTATGTAAAGTAAATAAAGTAGGTAAGTAAATAGGTAAGGTAAGTAAAGTAAAATGTATTTATATAACACCTTTCACAGACAAGAAGTCACTAAGTGCTTTCTAGTAAAAGAGAACCCTAACAAATCAAAACAGGTTAAAATCCATTTACAAAGAACTCCAAACATAACACCAGCTCGACATACTGTTGATTTAAAAGCTGTTTTTAAAATGTTTTTAAAAGATTCAACTGAGCCCAGAGTTCTCAGTGCTTGAGAAAGAGAGAGCCAGAACGTTGGAGCCACAACACAGAAACAGCACTCTGCACAACTTGCAATTGTTATATTTGTTCATCCAAGTGTACTGAACATTACAATAGTCCAACCATGAAGAGATAAAGGTACAGAAAAAGCATTTCTACTTTTGAAACCATATTTCTAATTGTGCTATACTTCAACTTCTTTATTTATATAGTACATTTAACTGCAAGTTAGATTACCAAAGTACATTTATTGCATATGCATATAAAATCAGCAAGTGCAGTAAAACATATGACACTCCACTAGGTGGCAGCATGATTTTATTATTTCTTTTATTATCTGAGTTTGACTAACTTATCAAAACTAAAGCTCTTTAGTTTGTAGCCTTAGCCCGTAAGGTTTTTTTAACACAGCATTTTTAATAACAGTTATTATGGTTTACAAACTTCATGTTCATGAAAACGAAATGAAAATCCAATCTATGATGTGAATATTGAAGCCATTATGTTGCTAACAAGTAATTAAGATCCACAACAACTACAAGCATGTGTGTTTTCTGTGTCTATTGGGGTTTTGTTTATTTATATAACATAAAATTGGCTTTGATGGAATTTGTATGCTTGCATTAGATTTTGACTGAAGTAACTGTAAATTTGAAAACTGATGTGTGTGCTGAATCTTAATTTTTGTGTACTAGAACTGAAATGAGAGTAGCTGGATGCCGTACCCTCTCACAGATGTGGCAGATGTAGACCATCATCGCCAGCTCTTCACAGCAGCGCTCTGCTCGAGACACGAAATCAGACACACTAGACTTAAACATGGACACCATCCTGTGAAACACCTCCGTCTCGGGATAGTTTGGGCCCTGAATGCGCTCCGCATCCGACACCAGCATCATCGCCTGGTGCTTCCGCTCCTGTTTCCACCAAAAAAACATTGCAAGAAATATTTTAACAGACAAATAACATGGCAATAGATTATGTTTAATCTTTAAAGTCACTATGAAATGAGTACACACTGCATACAGTTGAAGGCAAAATTATTCGCCCTCCTGTGTTTTTTTAAAACATTTTTTCTTCTGGAAAAAGTCTTATTTGTTTAATTTCAGCTAGAATAAAAGCAGTTTGTAGGGTTTTTAAAACCATTTTAATGTCAATATTATTAGCCCCTTCAAGCAACATTTGTTTTGGATTGTCTCCGGAACAAACCCATTATGCAATGACTTGCCTAAATACTCTAACTTCAACCTAATTAACCTAGTGGCCTCACAGCAAGAAGGTCGCCGGTTCGAACCTCGGCTGGGTCAGTTGCCATTTCTGTGTGGAGTTTGCATGTTCTCCCCGTGCTGGCGTGGGTTTCCTTCGAGTGCTCTGGTTTTCCCCACCAACACATGCGCTATAGGTGAAATTGGATGAACTAAATTGGCCGTAGTGCATGAATGTGAGAGTGTATGGGTGTTTCCCAGTACTGGGTTGTGACTGGAAAGGCGTCCACTGCGTAAAACATATGACAGAATAGTTGGCGGTTCATTCTGCTTTGACAACCCCTGATACATAAGGGACTAAGCCGAAGGAACATGAATGAATGAACATCATCTTCAACAACTTCACTTTTCAGATTGGTGCTCAATTGAAACAGCAAATTTCAATTGAGCCCACTGTTAGAATGGCCGACGTTACAGCAGTAAAAAAGGTGTTTACAGCCTGGTACAGAAAGATTTTGGTTAATACAGCTAATATTACCTTTCATGACAACTGTGAGGGGGGTGAATTTTTTTTATAACTCATCCGTTTCCTTTATATTAAGTTATATTAAGTTTGCATAATTAAGGGCGTGGCCACTCGAGTGACAGTTAGATCTCGCCAGTCGCCGTCACGTCACCTCAGCTGAATCCTGCAGATTAGCCACTGAACTCGGCATATTTATCGTATTTCTGTGTTGTTTTATGTGGCTTTACACAGTCAACTGCCTTTTGGACTTGTTTCCTACAATTATTAGATGGCATGGCATGCTGAGTGCACTTAATTGTGCTCACAAACCATTCACGTGGCCTCCGTTTCCCATGTGAGTAGAGTTACATACTTATATACCATCTATAAACATGTATTTGTTTTATTTAAGATCATTTATCATTTATATTTAGAGCTGTAATGCACTCCAGAATCTGACAGATTGTTTAGCTGTGGGCTCTAGATCAGTCATCTGAAGCTTTGTCATACAGTGTTATGCTGGAGTTCATCAATAGTCTTACATTAACTAACACAGACTATATCTGAAGTGTTTGGAAGTAATTTGCGTTTTCCTCCTGTTGAAAAACCTCATAAGAACAATGTTTAGTGGCTCAGTGTATCACAGCAGTGTTTTTAAAAGTCTAAACACTTTATTGATATAGTGTACAGCCAAGCACAAGTGGTCAGAACACAAACGAGTCGCAGGTGATAAAGTATTAAGCGTTCTCCTAAAGTAAAGTCTGTCTAGCCAACAACTTCATTTTTCTGATTGGTGTTCACTGGCATGGGGGCGGGATCAATCTCTTACTCATATGTTTATGCTAGCATTAATGTTAAGTCACTTTACCATGAAACACTTTTGACTGTAAAGTTTTCAGGTCACTTCTGCAGCAGTGCACACCAGATTTTCTCGGTTTTTGGAGTTTCTGGGTCTACATTGAAATGGTTTTAGTCCTGATTTTCTGATCGCAAGCAGTTTGGTGTGATTGCAGGTTGGTGCGGTTCAATCTGGTGTTCCTCTGGGATTAGTATTGGGCCCTTTATTTGTCACCATTTCTATTTTAAAATAGTTTCTCCATCTTCGACATTTTCACTTTTCTGATTGGTGTTCACTGGTATGGGTGCGGCATCAAACTGTCAATCAAATGAGACCCACCAATAGCAAACCCAAACCATCCTTTTCCCAGTGGACAAAATTAAACCCGTCTACATTTGTTCACACTCCCAACACATCCTAGTAGAAAACACAAAGACTTTCATGCTGGCTTTAACATGTTTAAGTCACTTCTGCAGCAGTGCACTACAAGTGTTCTTCATTTATACTTACGTTTGCTTCAGAGAGAAAAGCTTTGAATGTCTGCAAGGTTTGTTGTATTTGTTCACTGGATTCATCCACTGATTCAGCCTGCAGGAGCTGTGTTTCTCCTTCGGTGTCGAACCATTCCTTAATCTACAGTAGAGATCAAGGTGAATCAGTAAAGACATTTATAATCTTAGAAAAGCATCATCAATAATAATAAATTAACATTTATCTACACTCACCGACCACTTTATTAGGTACACCTTACTAGTACCGGGTTGGACCCCCTTTTGCCTTTAGAGCTGGCTTAATCCTTTGTGGCATAGATTCAACAAAGTACTGGAAACATTCCTCAGAGATTTTGCTCCATATTGACATTCTAGCATCACGCACTTGCTGTAGATTTGTCAGCTGCACATCCATGATGCGAATCTCCCTTTCCACCACATCCCAAAGGTGCTCTATTGGATTGAGTTCTGGTGACTGTGGAGGCCATTTGAGTGAACTCATTGTCATGTTCAAGAAACCAGTCTGAGATGATTCACGCTTTATGACATGGCGTGTTATCCTGCTGGAAGTGGCCATCAGAAGATGGAGACACTGTGGTCATAAAGGGATGGACATGGTCAGGAGCAATGCTTAGCATTGACACGATGCTCAATTGGTACTAATGAACCCAAAATGTGGCAAGAAAATTCCCCCACACCATAACACCACCACCACCAGCCTGAACTTCTGATACAAGGCAGGATGGATCCATGCTTTCATGTTGTTGATGCCAAATTCTGACCCGAGCATCCGAATGTGTCAGCAGAAATGGAGACTCATCAGAGCAGGCAATATTTCTCCAATCTTCTATGTCCAGTTTTGGTGAGTCTGTGTGAATTGTAGCCTCAGTTTCCTGTTCTTAGCTGACAGGAGCGGCACCCGGTGTGGTCTTCTGCTGCTGTAGCCCATCCGCCTCGAGGTTGGACGTGTTGTGTGTTCAGAGATGCTCTTCTGCAGACCTCAGCTGTAGCGAGTGCTTATTTGAGTTACTGTTGCCTTTCTATCAGCTGGAAGTTGAACCAGTTGAGCCATTCTCCTCTGACCTCTGGCATCAACAAGGCATTTGCGCCTACAGAACTGCCGCTCACCGGATATTTCCTCTTTTTTGGAACATTCTCTGTTAACCCTAGAGATGGTTGTGCATGAAAATCCAAGTAGATCAGCAGTTTCTGAAATACTCCAGCTCGTCTGGCACCAAAGTCACTTAAATCCCCTTTCTTTCCCATTCTGATGCTCGCTTTGAACTGCACCAGATTGTCTTGACCATGTCTACATGCCTAAATGCAGTGAGTTGCTGCCATGTGATTCATGATTAGATATTTGTGTTAACAAGCAGTTGGCCAGGTGTACCTAATAATGTGGCCAGAGTGTGCATATAAATGATAATAGAAACAAATTACTGCATGTTGCAATAATGATGCTGAAATTCCAGCATTTAATAATAACAATTAATTCGTTCAAAATATTTAATGAGAATAAATTACATTTAACATTATATTCACAACACCAATTTTAATTGCAATAAATCACAATATTTTTACTCTATTTTAATTAAGTAAATGCAGTTTTGGTTGGACCTCTTAATTTTTTTTTGTCTTCAACCCTTTGTCTGGCAAAGAACCATATATGGCCACTTTATAGCGATGCTTACAAAATGTTTCTTCATGAAAGTTAACACACCCGGTTTGTTTTCCAATGAGTATTTCAGTGTCATTTAAGAAGGTTAAAGTCAATCATTTTTGTGTGTTTATACCTGTGCAAACCTGGCCTCCATGTGTCGGAGCTGCAACAGGAAGTCCAGGTGCTGCAGGGACATGTTAGACTTTCTGGCCAGAACGTGCACCTGCTCCTCCATGCCATTGTACAGATGAGTGACCGTATCAATCACCTCACTGTGAAGAAAATTGCACATCGTTTACTACAAGGTGAGTGAAAATAGGCTATATTTAAACACTGTAGAACTTGTAGTATCACTGGAGTCATGATGAAAACAAATCTCTAAAGTAGAGTCCCTAAATAAGCGATAATAAATAGGATTTCACATTAACAGTAGGGTTCTTGAAAGTACTCGAATTTCAGACATGAGTGTGTACTTCAAATGAGTGTCTTCACCGGCTTTGTTCGCAGTGTGGTGACCTCACGTCAGTTTCCCGCCTCAGCCGTGCCAGCATGGCTCCGCCTCCTCTCTGCAGCTCGACCAATCGGGCGTCTTCCAGCACATTCTTCATTAGAGCCGCCTGCTCCTTAATGCACTGCTGCACATCCTGATTTCACAGTCGGATCATTCATTATCTTCAGGTAAGCACAGCATGAGTTTGTTCACTTGACAGGTGTTTCATTACCTGCACTGTGTCGATTTTATGAACACCTTCTAGTTTCTTTATAGCTCCTGATAGAAGAGCGGATGCATCTTGCAGGTCAGACACAAACGGATACAGTTTCTGTAACATGAAGTTAAGCATGTTATAGATGTATTCATAAATAGTTATACTTGTACACATACATTATATATTTACTAAACGATATTTAAAACAACTTTGTTTTCTAATAGTATTTGTGTATATATATTTTTATTTTTTATTATTGTTATATTTATTTTAATTAGCCAATTAATGATATTTATTCAACTGTTTATAAAATAATATCATATTTCTTTCTTTAATGTTGCTTAATCTTTTAGAATTTATATAATATTTCAAGCATAATAAAATAAATTAAATGGCTATATAAAATATTTACAAATATGGCGAATATAGTACAATTATGTTTATATTAAAATAAATTTAATATTACTTTGTGAAGTGTTAATTGGGAAAAAAACTAATGTAGTTTTTGCAGTTGTACTCTTCAATGCTGAATGTAAAAATTAGTTTCTGAAAACTGCTGTTTAAATGATGTCCATAAATAATTTTTTCTTTACAATTGTGCTCTTCAGTACACAACATAAAAACATGATGTCTTAAAACTCTATTACTGTATAACTGTGTTTTTGTAAATAAACTCTTCATTTATAATAGCTTATATCGTTGGATTAAGTTGTGCATGTTTACATATTTGTGTAGTTTTAAAATATGATATTATTATTATTAAAAGTTGTAGTAGTGATCGTTGTCGTGGTAGTGGTCGGTGTCGTCATTGGAGTTTTAGTAGTCATAATAGTACTAGTCAACCTAGTGGTAGTAGTAGGTCGTCATAGTAGTGGTCGTCAGAGGTTGTCGTAGTAGTAAGTCATAGTATTAGTAGGTCGTAGCTGTAGTAGTAGATCAAAGTTAGTAGTAGGTTGTAGCAGTAGTCGTAGTAGCAGTAGTAGGTCAAAGTAGAAGTAGTTCATAGCAGTAGTAGTACTTGTTGTGGTAGTAGGTCAAAGTAGTAGTAGTAGGTTTTAGCAGTGGTAAGTCATAGCAGTAGTAGTAGTCACATGGTAATAGGTCAAAGTAGTAGTAGGTAGTAGCAGTAGTCAACCTAGTAGCAGGTCAAAGTAGTAGTAGTAGGTCGTAGTAGGTCATAACAGTAGTAGTAGTAGTCGTCGTAGTAGTTGGTCATAATAGTAGTAGTAGTTGTAGGTCGTAGCAGAAGTAGTAGGTTGTAGTAGTAGTAGTAGTAGTAGGTGATAGTTGTGGTAGTAGCAGTAGTTTGTAGTGGTAGGTGATAATAGTAGTAGTAGTTGTAGCAGTAGGTCATAGTAGTAGATTGTAGTAGTCGTTGTAGTAGTTTTATATATATATATATATATATATATATATATATATATATATATATATATATATATATATATATATATATATATAAAAACTTACCACTGCTAAAACCTACTACTACTACGACCACTGCTACGACCTACTACTACTTTGACCTACTACCACAACAAGTACTACTACTGCTATGAACTACTACTACTTTGACCTACTACTGCTACTACGACTACTGCTACAACCTACTACTACTTTGATCTACTACTACAGCTACGACCTACTAATACTATGACTTACTACTACGACAACCTCTGACCTACTACTACCACTAGGTTGACTAGTACTATTATGACTACTACAACTCCAATGACGACACCGACCACTACCACGACAACGATCACTACTACAACTTTAAATAATTTATAATAATAATAATATCATATTTTAAAACTACACAAATATGTAAACAAGTATGTATGTATGTATGTATGTATGTATGTGTATGTATGTATGTATGTATGTGTATATATATATATATATATATATATATATATATATATATATATATATATATATATATATGTATGTATGTGTGCATGTATGTGTATATATATATATATATATATATATATATATATATATATATAAATATATGTATGCATGTGTGTGTGTGTGTGTGTGTATATATATATATATATATATATTATGTAACTTGCTGTGATTACTTGCCTCACTGTATGAGGCACTCATTGTATAAGGATAGATGCATTGAACTGGTCCATGCACCCGCCCCACCACCTACCACCCACCCTTAAACTCATCTAGCTTGCATTATATTCCATAAAGTTATAAATACATATTTTTTTATACTTTTTGTTATTTGCACTTCTGGTAAGATGCTATCTGCATTTCATTGGCTCTGTACTGTACTTTGCACAGTGACAATAAAGTTTAATCTAATCTAAGTAGTAGTAATAGAAGCAGTGGTACTATTATTAAGTTTGTACTCTTAGTAATTAAAGTATTTATCAGATGTGCAGTACTGTACCTGATGTATTTGTATCCAGTCCCAGTGGCTGTACAGTAATGAGCCGTGTAGAGCCGCTGTCAGCTGACTGACCTCCACTAGTTTATACAGAGCTTTATAGGACGTCACAGTTTCCACCTGCACACAGGGTTTAGAGGATTGAAGTCTGTCTGAGAAACACTGAAGCCTGATACCTGTATATAATAACAAGAAAAAGCGTATTTCTGACCGTAACTCCAGGCCTCTTCTCATGACTGTAGCTGCTGTCTTTATTGAGCAGAAGCACAACACAGTGAACCGCACCAGGATCCTTCTCCTGCACACAACAAGCAACATCTACAGCCTGAATATTCAGTTCAATTTTAAGTACAATTTGATGCATATATAAATACATATAAATAAAAATAAATACAAGTTTATTTTAAAAAAAACTAAATATTATGTGCCTTTCTGAAGGCTGTGTGACTATTTAATCATCAATATTAGTACTTATAGATGATACTGTATGACGTTTCCTTTTTTTCTTTTACTTCGTTCTATATATTGATTGATTTATTTTCTGGATTTTTAAGGATTATTATAATTTATTTTGCCCTTAAAAATCTTGTATGCACTTTTTTGGTTGATAATTAGTTAACCTATTTGCTATTATTGTTTATGATTTGATTTTGTAGTAGATTTGAACTATAACCCTTAATGCACATTCTTTGTAAAACTTGCCTCTGATTATGTCTATAAAAGCACATTTATTTTGATATCTTTAAACAAATGTGTCACAATAAAAATCTAAATAAAAATCAAAATTCAAATATATTATTGAATAAACTGAACAATTTAAGTATAATCTACAAAAGTGAAAAGTTAAATAAACTTAAATATGCAAGTTTTGGGAAACTGCTACTCACTTAAATTGAGGCAATGAGTTTACTTAATTTAGTTCAGTCAACTTATTAGGGTTGTCAGTGCTAAGTTTGGTGAACTGAACAATTTAAGTATAATCTACAAAAGCGGCAGGTTAAATAAACCTAAATATGCAAGTTTTGGTAGACTCCATTACTCAATTAAATGGAGGCAATGAGTTTACTCGATATATTTAGCTCAATCAACTTATTAGGGTCTTCAGTGTATTTTAAGAATTTTTATTAATTATTAGTAAATAATGCACACACCAACTCAGGTTTGATTTAATAATAGATTATTATTACTTAATTACTATAATTAAGTAATTACTGCAATTTCATGTTGCCAGTTATTCCTATAATAAAGAACATAATTTCAGTTCATTTTTAGGTTTATTAAAAAAAAACTAAAACAAAAATGAACTATTACATAATTTCTTTCTAATATATTTAAATGAAAATATAAGATATGTACATTTTGCAACAACAGCTGGAAAGAATTTACAACGAATGTCATAGAAATTGGTTTAACTTTTGTTTGGCCAGACCAAAAGTAGTATTGACATGCAGAAGTGTCAGATATAGTGCTGTGTGGCATTAAACTGACATGATAAATATGTGCACTTTTAAGAGGTTTTAGGCTTGTTTAGGTATAGAATCACTCACGTGGAGCGTCAGGAGAGCTTTGGTAAACTCTGGATGCGGAGGCTTCTTCCGAGCATCAAACACCACAGTCATCCCGACATCTTTCATTCCTTTCCTAGAATTCAGATAATGTAAAATATTATTAATATTAGGTAAAACTGAATGGTAACAGATAATGTATGTCTACAGTCACTGGTACTAAATTAATGATTAAATTTACTTTATAAAGAGCTAAGGAAACTTACTAGAAGCAAATTATCAAATGTTGTATGAGGAATGAATAATAAGGAAAAAGGGTGTTTATAAATGTACAATTTTAAACCAAAAAAAATGTATGTTTATTAAATGTATGTATATATAAAATCTCAATTATTCGCCCTCCTGTGAATTTTTTTCTTTTTAAAAATATTTTCCAAATGATTTTTCACAGATTCAGGAATTTTTCACAGTGTTTCCTATAATATTTTTTCTTCTGGAGAAAGTCTTATTTGTTTTATTTATAGAATAAAAGCAGTAATCAATTTTTTAAACCCATTTTTAGGTCACTATTATTAGCCCCCCCTAAGCAATATTTGTTTTGGATTGTCTACAAAACAAACCACTGTTATACTGTGACTTGCCTAATTACCCTAATTAACCTAGTTAAGCCTTTAAATGTCACTTTAAGCTGAATACTAGTATCTTGAAAAATATCTAGTCAAATATTTTGTTTTGTCATCATGGCAAATATAAAAAATTCTGTTATTAGAAATGAGTTATTAAAACTATTATGATTAAAAATGTTGAAAAAAATGTTCATTCAATTAAACAGATATCGGGGAAAATATATACAGGGGGCTATTAATTCTGACTGTATATTAGAAAAAAATTGTCCAAAAAATATCGTCCCTGTGATAGTGAGCTTCTATTTTCACGTTTTCGTGTGTCTGTGTGTGTCTGTCTGTGTGTTTGTGTCTGCTTTTGTACCTGGTGATGGTATGAAAATACAGCAGAAGTTTGAAGATCTCCTGGCTTGAAAGTGTTGCAGAAATCCAGACCTGATGATCTCCATAAACCTCCAGAACTGCTCGGTCCGAGCGATCCTGACCGCCTGGAGGACCAGCAGCAGGTCATCACAATATCAAGTGTTTACATCTTATTAACAGAGTTTCTGTAGTTTAAACATATGTATTTATTTCTGCTTGCTTACTTTTACATTAGTACACTTTAGATTCTTACCATCAGTTTTTTTTAAACAGGAAAATATACATCATTTGTTTAATTAGTTAAAAATTTGATTTTTGATGGTGTTTAATTTGTTTAAGTGTTTAATATTATTAGTGTTTTTGTTATTTTTTTATGTATTTGTTCACATTGTTATATGCATAATTTTTTTATCACCATCAGTTTTCTTTAGGAAACTTCTTTCTTTTTGTTTATCATAGTCGAAAATAATGTGGCAAAGTGTGGCAAAGCATGGTGATTAGTTTGTCATTATATTTATAATTAACCCATCCTAAATAATTATAATCAAAATCATAAATTCTAAATAATAATGTAATTTCTATTATGAACAATGATTATAATAACATTACTTCTAATAATAATAATTATTGTTATCATAATATAATATACATTATTATTATTATTATTATTATTATTAGAATTATAATATTTTGTTAATAATAAAATATTAACAATGTATATTATATTGTGATAATAATAATAATAATAGTTTGTAGTAGTAATATATTATTATTATTATTATTATTATTATCATTATTATCATTATTATAATCATAATAAAATATACCGAATTTTTATTGTTATTATTATTATTATATATTATTATTAAAATCATAATATAGTATACAGTATTAATAACAATAATATACTTTTGTTATTATTATTATTATTATTGTTATTGATAATAATAATATACATTATTTTTATTTATTATTATTATTAATAATAATAATAATAATAATAATGTATATTATTATTATCAATAACAATAATAATAATATTTATAACTATTGTTTATTTTTTATTTATTATTATATTATATTTATTATTATTGTTTATTATATAATTATTGTAATAATAATTATTGTTATTGTTATTAATACTGTATACTATATTATGATTTTATTAACAATATATAATAATAATAATAACAATAATAAAAATTCTGTATATTTTATTATACTATTGGTAAGTCAATTGAGGACCAGTTGTCATTTACCAATGACGATCTGGCCAAGAGGCAACATAAAGAGCAGATACGGAGCAGCAGGGACACAATACAATAACAATTTCACAAGTGCAGATAATACCATATAAAACCAAGGAAAACCTAAAGTACTGTGATCTTGTACTATTAACTGGATCGAATTAAAAAAAAAAATATTGGAATGAAAGTGTTGAGCTTTAAGGTCTGCTGCAGATGATTCTAAACATCAGCAGCAGAAAAGTGACCTGATGAGTAGCGACCAAATGAAGTGCGAATTTTAGCTATACAAAGGTTAATAAAACTACTGGAGCGCAGATTTCAACATGTTTACTGAATGTTAAGAAGTGACTGTAAATATAGTGGAGTTTTCCAAATAAAAGTTTTGTTAATGAACAGAAACCAATGAATTTGTCAACGTGATTAAAGAGAAAGCCAAATGAATAAAGAATTTAGTTGACATTGAGTATTAAATAGCGGACAAAACGATAATAATAACGATATTATGTATATTATTAGATGTATATTATTATTATTGGTAGTAGTAATATATAATAATAATAATAATAATAATAATAATCATTGTAACTGTAATAACATTTTATTGTAATCATTTATTTAAATATAATGTAATTTATTTTAATAATAAAAACATACACACATAAAAAAATATTAAATGTTTATTTTTCAGTTCAAATAAAGTTTGCATAAATACCTTAATAATCATGGCACACACAATGAACATGTTTATTTCCCTTCTATCATAAATCATTCTTGTAGTTTTGACAAAAATATAGTTTTTTTTCAGGCTGCCAAATAAAAAATAAAGTAGCATGTGAATGTAATAGGAAGTGCACTATATTATGCACAGCACTTTGGTCAGTCTTGTGGCTAAATGTGCTTTATAAAAAAACAAACAAACTTGAACTGTTTTTATGAAGTCATATAAAAGAATGCAACATTAATTTTGCGTGACAAATGCATGTGTTTTTACCTGTGAGACACACGATTCCTGCATGCAGGAGAGCATCAGCTTTAAGTGTTGGAGGTGTGGAGGATCTGGACGGCCGGCGCTCTGTTTCTGCTGGTGTTAAACCGTCTGGATGATTTATCCGTGATCCAGGAACAGGAGCGCACTGAGATTTTGGATCTTGAGGAAGATCTTCAAAGGAGTAAGTCAGCGTGTGTTAAAACATGTTCAAAGAGATTGTTTTGCTTCTAATGGTAGGATCTTAAAGACTGTAAAATCACAACTTTAAATAATGCATGACGAACATGTCTGATCTAACATTGATCTCTTTTTAATAAACAGTGACCCAGAAAAATAAACGTAATCCAAGCAGGACAGACAGACTGATGGATAATAGAGTGGATGGATAGACAGACTGGGTAGGAAGATATATAAAGGGATAGATGGAGAAACAGACTAGACAGAGGGATATATAGAATAGAATAGATAGATAGATAGATAGATAGATAGATAGATAGATAGATAGATAGATAGATAGATAGATAGATAGATAGATAGAACACAGATAGATAGAACACAGATAGATAGAACACAGATAGATAGATACAATGGATGGGTGAATGAAGGGACAGACAGATAGCTAGATGGACAGATGGATGGATAGATAAAGAGACCAGAAAGATGGATATATAGACTACATAGATGGATAGATAGAACATGGATGGATAGATACACTGGATGGATGGATGAATGGATGGATGGACTGAAGGACAGATGGATGGATGGACAAATGGATGGATGGATAAACAGACCAGACAGATGGATATATAGACTAAATAGATAGATAGATTGAACACAGATTGATAGATACACTGGATGGAGAGACAGACTGATTGACAGATTGATAGGTACACTGGGTGGATGGAGGGACTGATGGACAGACAGACAGATAGATAGACAGTGGATGGATGGACAAAGACAACTCAAAAGATGGATAGATGGACAGAAAGACAGCTCAGTTGAGGGATTAATGAATGAAGGATGAACAGATAGATAGATAGATAGATAGATAGATAGATAGATAGATAGATAGATAGATAGATAGATAGATAGATAGATAGATAGATAGATAGATAGATAGATAGATAGATAGATAGATAGAGAGATCATAGGTCTCAAACTCAGTTCCTGGAGGGCTGCGGTTCTGCACAGCTTTGCTCAAACCCTAATCAAACACAGCTGATTCAACTAATCAAGGTGTTCAAGAGTAGTCTGAAATTGAGTTTGAGACTAATGTTATAGATAGAAACAGACGGATGGATGGATAGACAGAAAGAAAGACATAGGATGTATAAAGACAGAATTTTAAAAAGCTGCTGACTCATAACAAACATGTTCCACACCTTTAATCACCAATCGTCTTCTGTTCAGCTTCGGAGACACCAGTCCAAAAGTGGTGGTCTTTTTCCCGGGAACCACATGAAGTCTGGGAATCATTTCGAAGTAGCTGCTTCTGTCCTCCTGGTTTGACTGTCCCTGAATCACAATGTGGCATTTCTCTGATGTGCCGACCACTGCTGGAGCCAAACCGTCCCGGTATGCGCTCTGGATTTGCTCCTCACCGCAGGGGTCAGCAGTTTCTGCTTCATTAGGATGATCAGATTTTTCTTTGGGTGTAATGGCTGTATCCATAAACCGACACTTTTGCTTGGTCCCATGTCCATGTTTCCTCTGCATGCATGGAGTACAGGGCTCTTCAGCGAACCGCACTGTGCGCACACATGTGGAACGCTCCCGAGTCGCACCATTGGACCTCAGTAGGGGAGTCCATGTGTTTGCATATCCTTGGGTTTCTTTGGTAAAGTCCAGTGGATCGTTGCAAATCCCAACCAAACTGCTTTTACTTCTGCTGTCCCATGTGCTTGGAGAAACCCACCCTATGGGACGCATCCCAGACTGATCCATTTCACTGTGTTTTGTAATACTGCTGCTGTCTACCAATCGCAAAGACACCGCAATACCGTCCCGTGCAGGACAAATCCTGGTCTCGATGGAGAAGCTGGAAGGCGTTGGTGGACGACACAAACTCGAAGACTCCTGTTGATTAGACGGAGACGCTGAGTCCATCCTCCGCTCGTCCTCAAATTCAGGATTGACCACCTCTTCCCAGGGAACCTTGATTATGTTCTGTTGGGTTTTGAGGATGCAGCGGGACAGGGGTCTTCCATGTCTCTTTTCATTGAGCTCTTGGAGCCAGGTTTCAGTGAAGATGTTGGAGTGTGAGGTTTCAGGGATGGGAGTTTCCTCCAGCTCACATTCCTCCTCTGAAACACTCTTGACCACAATTTGAACCGACTGGATCCCAAACGGCACGACCTGCAGGTAAAAGTCTCCGGGTCGGAGCAGCAGGGAGTTTACAGGAGCAAGTTGGATCACGATGCGCTCCTGTAAACACAGAGGCCAGCCAGGACTGCTGAACACCCTCTTAGAGTGCGGAGCCTGTTCGGGACACACACAAATCTAAATTAGAAATATATATTTTTCAACCCAGGCTCATTGTGAAAACGTAGTCCTTTGGACGTTTCTAGAGACCGTGAAATACGTCCTGGGAGGTACGTATGGCTGCATTTAGTTTTTTCAAGGACCTCTGTGTGGAGGGCTTTCCCGCCGCAACCAGTTGGTCCAGTCAGCTCATCGTGTGCGTTGGCAGACTTCAGATGCAGAGAGGAGCGGTTGACCACGGCGACCGGGTTCGAGTCCGGGGAAGAGCGGTTCCAGAAATCAGGTAAGACAAAAACAGAATCCAAAAAATAAAGCGAACGAGTTCATGACGGGGCGAGAACGTGGTGAAATCGGAAAATGTGGTGGAAAAAAAACAGACGAGGGATTTTTCGAAGGCTTTTGTAAACCGATGGTCGGGTCTAGGGAAGTAAGCGGGCGGGCGGGTCAATCGTTAAAATTGCTTGGGTTTAGGGAAGGAAGGAGGAGAGTGGTGTCAGCCGATTGGCAGGTTCGTGCAGTCAGCCAGACAGCGGCCTCTGGTGTGTTGACGCGAAAACAGCGTAACCGCAAACGCAAGAGACGTTCGAGACGCGAAAAGCGCGCACAGCATTCGCAAAAACAAAAACTGCAAAAATACATGACTCGAAAGGGAATGGCGTCACACCGCCCTGCAGCGTTACCTTGAAAAAACTAAATGCAGCCATACGTACCTCCCGGGACGTATTTCGCGGTCTCCAGAAACGTCCGCGGGACTACGTTTTCACAACGAGCCTGGGTTGATATTTTTAATTAGATTTATCTGAACTGCTATTTTTTTATTCATTTATTTTCCTTCGGCTTAGTTCCTTCATATTTATTAAGGGTCGCCACAGCGGAATGTACCGCCAACTATACTAGCATACGACTTACACAGCGAATGCCCTTCCAGCTGCAACCCAGTACTGGGAAACAGCCATACACACTCATTCCACACACACACACTACGACCAATTTACTTCATTCAGTTCCCCAATAGTGCATGTGTTTGGACTGTGGGGGAAACTGGAGCACCCGGAGGAAACCAATACCAACACAGGGAGAACATGCAAACTCCACACAGAAATGCCAACTGACACCACTGTTGAGTTTTTGAGTCTTTAAAGTTGTAAAAGCATTGAAAGTACACACAAATACACATTAGACTATAATGGTTCCATACAAACCTTCAGTTTGTGTCAGTTTTATTTTACGTCTTAGTTCAATGTGTTTTGAAAACAAACAGAACTTTTGATTTGCAAACAATGAAGCTGTAACACTGATATTCAATATACACAGTTTAAAACTAAATGATCTGACCTCTTGTGAAATTTTTAATTCTTTTTCAAATATTTACCAAGGAGGGTGACACGGTGGCTCAGTGGTTAGCACTGTGGCCTCACAGCCAGGGTGTTTCCCAGTACTGGGTTGCAACTGGAGGAAAGGGCATCCTCTTTGTAACACATATGCTGGAAGAGTTGGCAGTTCATTCATGTGGCAACCCCTGATGATTAAAGGGACTAAGCCAAAGGAAAATGAATGAATGAAAATTTCGCAAGTGAAACTTAACAAAGCAAGGGCTTTATTCTAGAGTATTTCTGTTTTTTTTTTCTACTGGATAATGTATTTTTTGTTGTTATTTTGCTTGAATAATGAAAAATAAATTTTAAATATATAATAAAAAAACAGCTAAGGTCAATTTTAATAACTCTATTTTGTACCCTTAGGAAATTATAACATTTATCGATTGGCTAAAGAATAAACTGTTGTCCAGTGATTTGCCTAATTACCCTAATTAACCTAATTCTTTCATTCAATTTCCTTCAGCATAAGGCTGATTTATACTTCTGCATCAAGCGCACACGAATGCTCCGACGCAGCCTGTGCGTGTATGCATAGCCCTAGCTGTAACGATGTGTAGCGCAAGCACTGTGATTGGTCAGGTTGGTATTGATAACGATTGTGGGTGGGACAGAGAGCCATGTGAACCCGTTGGAGCAAGTGTTTACAAGTGTCAAGTCCTGTGAAGGAGCCCCACATGGAGACTTTTTTGTGTTTAACTTATGATTAAAGTTGTTGCACGTCCACCGGTTCCCGCTTTAAAATGAGCGAGTTTGAGCAACTTCTAGCTTTCAGGAAAAAACAAAACACCAGCGAAGAAACACAACACAGAGGAACATAAGAACCTACTGCCAGATCACCTTTCAGAAGTGCAATTGCAGAGCAACACAAACACAGCACAGAAAGATCGGCATGTGCCTTGGGTCGCCACAGCAGAATGAACTGCTAACTATTCCGGCATACGTTTTACATAGCGGATTTTACACAGCCAATTTAGCTTATCCAGTCCACCTATAGTGCATGTGTTTGGACTGTGGGGATAACTGGAGCACCAGGAGGAAACCCACGCCAACACAGGAAGAACATGCAAACTCCACACAGAAATGCCAACTGACCCAGCCGGGACTCAAACCAGCAACCTTCTTGCTGTGAGATGACTAGTGCTAATCATTGAGCCACTGTTGTGCCCTAATTAACCTAGTCATTTTAAGCTAAATACTATTAGCTTGCAAAACAACTAATAAAATATTATGCACTGTCATCATAAATTTGTTATTAGAAATGAGTTTTTTAGTAATGTAATTGTTAATATGTGTTTTTAGCAGCGAAACGCAGACAGCCAAAAGGTAAATAATGTAATTCTAACTGTTAAAGGAAGATTATTGAGTGTGCTACTATCACTGGCAGTGATTCTGGAGTACATGCAGCCCTTGGTCTTGGAGGGTTTTAAAGGACAGCTCATTACGTGAATTGCATGAAGTGATGCTCTAGATGTCAAAGACGTGTCCTATACTGTATAATATGAGAGCAGATGAACATCACACGGGTCATTAATCCAGCTCAGAAACGTCAGTCTGAGAGCTCTTGTGAATGTCAGACTGAAACACTCGTCTCAAAGATATCGTTCAGATGCGACAGGCGACAACTGTTAATGCTCTCATATTAGCTGAGTTTAGACTGACCCTAAAGCTTCATGTAATGTGCTGTTGGGAGATATCAGATATTAAAGTCAAATTAAATAAGATAGTTTTGGTAGTAATCAGAAAGGAGACAATCTGAGTAGAGGTACTGTATACTTCCATGTAGTTTTTTCATCAGCAAATTGTAATTTAAAGGTATTGACCTTATTCTAAAATGCGGAGGTGCGCCTGTTTTCGCGATTGTCTTAGAACTTCCGTTTCAGTCGCCTATGGGAGAAATGACAAGGAATAATAAACGGCAAAAAACGGTCAAACTACTTGCTCTACAAACAAATGTTTGCATGACTATACAGACCAAGTAGAATAATATAACAAGGAAATATCAGTTTGCAACATCAAACAGCGAAACGAGCAGTTTTTAATGTCTAAAAATGAATGGAAGTGAATGAGACCGGAAGTCTCGTGCCAAAAAGATTCAAATGGCAGCGCCCGCTCGTCTGCGGAGAATATGGTCAATAAAGCAAAGGGAAAAGATTGGTTGTTTCCCCAACCATGGGTACTTTTTGGGAATCTTATTATTATTATTATTATTTATTTATATATATTTTTTAACAAATGTATTTTCTTTCTTAAATCACAGACCAATTTTAAGCTTTTAATTACGCTTTAACCATTGTACACTGTTAAAATTGACTACCCTTTTGTTATGTTCGGGATGAAAACATCCACTGAATTAAACTGCTGTAAAACATAATAAACAAAAATAAAAAATTTTTTTGCATAAATCTGTTAATCAACCTTAGTCTAATAATTCTGACTTTAACTGTATGTGCGTGTTTCCGCAGACTCACACTGGCTGTCTGCTGCAGGCCTTCTAGAAGGGTTTTGGCAGGAATGAGGAAGGTGTTCAGACACTGAAGGGCATCTCCATCATATTGAGTGTCGATGAGCTGGAAGATCTGGCTGAGGACGGTCGATGCCGTCAGCTCAAATGGTGGGAAGAGGACAGACAGACAGCTCTGGATACACGAGTCCAGACACTCCGGATCCTGACACAACACAGACATATATATCACAGGTGAAGAACATGACCATAACACAACCAGTGCTGGGTGTAATTACTTACAAACTAATTACTGTAATTAAATTACTGTTTCCCTGAGAAAGTTAAGGGATTAAACTTAATGTACTTGCCTCAACATTTCTATATACAGTGGTGTTAAAAAGTGTGTGCCCCCATACTGATTTAATATTTTTTTTAAATAATATCAAGCACAAGTAAAGCTGCGGTCACTGGATTTTTATCCCCATAGACTTCCTTTCATATGCACGCGAATGCGCCAGAACGGAAATGCCGGGTCATACGTCAAGTTTCACAGATCGCTGCATTAGAAAGTTCGAGCTTGGTGAACTCTGACCAGCGAAATCGCATCACTTGACTGTGTGAGACCATTCAATCAAAACGTGACCTCTCTGTACAGGAATTTAAAACATGGTCCAATCGCTCGCTTTTGTAATGTCTAATAATGTTGTTTAATCCTGCCCCCTTTTTGCAGTGCGGCGTGACAGAATAATGCATGGTTAAACTCCAGTTTGACCACAGCTTAATGCCTTAGCAGCACACCAAGATCCAAGAGTAGCACCCAAGCAACCAATCAGGACATTTGTATAACATCTTGGCAGCCAATTAGAATGCAAGAGTGGCACCATAGCAGCCAATCACAAAAGTAAAACCTAAGGAACCAATCACAACACAAGAGTAGCATCCTAGCAATCAATCACAAAAGTAACACCTAAGGAGCCAATCAGAATACAAGAGTACCACCCTAGCAACCAATCACACAAGTAAGGAGTCAATTAGAATGCAAGAGTAGCACCCTAGTAACCAATCACACAAGTAAGGAGTAAATCAGTATACAAGAGTAGCAGCCAATCACAAGAGTACCACCCTAGCAGCCAATTAGAATACAAGAGCAGCACCCTAGCTGCCAATCACACAGATAACACCTAAGGAGCCAATCATAACAAAATAGTAGCAGCAAATCAGAATACAAGAGTAGCACCCTAGCATTCAATCGCACAATTAACACCCAAGGAGCCAGTCAGAATACAAGAGTAGTGACGCCATAGCAACCAATCAAAACCCCAAAGCAGTGCTCTATCTTCCAATCAGAACACTTTTTAAATTTAAATATTAATGACACCGTTTTAAAATGATTTGAATATAGTAGTGACACAATCAATGACAATCCTGTTTAGTTCCTATGCAAAGCCGATCAGAAAAATATTCAAGACATAATAATGATGGCCTCATAACAATCATGTTTATGACGGATTTATGACAAGTCTTGATAATGTCAAGTTTTCATGACGAAGACATTTTAAACAATGTCATCTTTGCATTTAAACTGACACAAGTGAGTGAATGACACTTAATGACAGCTGTCATGAGCATGCAGCAGTTCACATTCATGATTTTTCAAGTAAAGTGTTAGCCAAAATTCGCTCCTGAATATTCATCTCTCTGTGTCAGATTAATAAAGGGACTAAGCCGAAAAGAAAATGAATGAATGGATGAATATTCACCTCTCTGGAAGTCCTGTGTGCAGTCAGTGTGTGTGTTTGTTTGTGAATGTATCAGACAGACAGGTGTGGTGTAGTGGTGTAAGCTGGTCTGTTGGGAGTTTCAGGTTCAGATCTCTGACCCCCCTGCTCAGGATCCTCCACTTTAGTCTGTGCTCTGGATTTAGCAGCTCTGCTGGTTCAGCATTGACAGACTGCATGCTTCATGGACATTCCTGTGTCCAGTGCACACAGACAGTATGAATACAGTTAAGGTCAAGAACCCAGAACTAGTAGAGAAACCCGAGACCTATTATTAGAGACATTGTTATAAGCAAGTCAAATAAAGAAACTAATATGCAGTCACAAACTCAATCAGAGATTGTTTGTTTGAGTGGTTTGAATTAACTTTTACTTGTGTTTTAATTTGAATGTTTTGAGTATTTTTATTGAGCAGCAGTGCATTGGGCTACAAGTGTGATATTGCGTTTATACAACAGTTTGACGGCATAATCGTGTATATAAAAAAAGAAAATCAAACATGGAGAGTCTCAAAATCTTTTTGTAAGAGGAACTACTTTCTTCCACTATTCATTCACATCTGCAGCTGACGTTAGAAAAGCTGAAATTGTTGCTCATTCACTAACGTCACTGTAGAGCTAGTGTTTGAATGATTCTCTAGCGTAATGTCTAAAGTGATGACAAAACAGCTGATTTTGCTAACATGTTAAGATTATAAGACTGAACAGCATGAAATGCCATCAGTCTATAGATTTCCCAGTATTGTTGCAATTGGGAGATTACAATAATTAACCGTGAAAAAGCCAAAGCAAAGCAAACACTAGCAGATTACTAAGGTATAAATACAGTATAAATACAAAATACAATTTTCAGTTTAAAATACAGTTTAATAATGGTTTGATCAGCTGTAGTTTGAAATAACGCTGAGTGTTTCTCCCCTAATGCTGTGTTCACACCAGACGCGGCACGCGTGTCAAGCGCGAGTGATTTACATGTTAAGTCGATGCAAACGTGCGAATAGACATCCTGCGGCGCCATACGCGCGAATGGCGCGTCGCGAATGACACAAATTGCGCGAATGGCGTGGGGTGAATTGAGCGTTTTGCGCGTTTAACGAGGGTTTCGTGCGAATCTCTCGAATTCGAAAATCTGAACTTCAGCATACATTCGCGCCGCATTAACCAATCAGAAGTCTGCTCTTGTGGGGGCGTGATTGTGACGTAGAACCTGTTCATCAAACTCAGCTTGGCTCAGTCAGAAGCACCGCTGAAAGCCTCCGTCATCCAGATTCAGTTTCTGGAGGAGTTTATGAGCTCACAGAGCTGGATGCACCTCTGAAAGGATCTAGTGGACTCAGACAGGACCCTAAACGTATCGACGCTGTTTTTCAGTCTTCATAAAGCACATAAACACTGTTATCTTCTTAATAAAATCCATGTTAGCCATTTAGCTATGAAGCTAGAGTCACCGGGCAGACAGAAGCCCTGCCCATCACGTGAATCCGCGTCGGTTCTGATGTGAATTTGACACGCGAATGAAGTGGGGCTTGATGCGCGTATGAAGCGAGTAAACTCAAATGTTTACGTGGCTATTTATGCACGAAAAGCGCGATTTATCTGCGCGTTCCGCGTCTGGTGTGAACACAGCATAAGAGCTTAGTATGCAGTCTTTGTCGCTATCTTGTGGCAGAACGTTAACTGTCTTTGCTTTGGATCTCTAAATTATAAATAATTAATAGGCACTGTGCTTATAAATAAACTGCATGCAATCTAAACAACTACATTCTCAACTAAAAAAGCCTCTAAAGTACAGCGTATTGTCCAACAGCAGCAATATTTGTCAAACTGTAGTGAGTTTATTGACCTGCTGTCACTCTATGTGGGCGGAATAATACACAAGGGTGAGAGGAGGCTGTACGAGTGTACACTACGGACAATTTAGCCTACCCAATTCCCCTGTACCGCATGTCTTTGGACTGTGGGGGAAACCGGAGCACCCGGAGGAAACTCACGCGAAGGCAGGGAGAACATGCAAACTCCACACAGAAACGCCAACTGAGCCGAGGTTCGAATCAGCGACCCAGCGACCTTCTTGCTGTGAGGCGAACGTGCTACCCACTGCGCCACTGCCTCGCCTGCACCAAAATATATGCACCTTTATTCACTGGGGGTACTCAATTATGCTGAGCACTGTATGTATGTAAAATAAAAACATACCCGACATGCTACACCTTGAGTTTTTTTATCATTATTAGTTCTATATATTATTTGCTGTGCGTTGTGTTGAAGAGCCTGATGCGAGACTGAACACGTCTGTGACACTGGATCTGTGGTGTATTTCTGACTGCTGCGCACTGCTGTTCATTCAGAAACTGACGCCATGTTTGAGGACTTGCTGAAATGTTTTCTGAATCTCCTCTGACCTCAGTGTCCATCCATCAAAACACACGAATGATGCTCTGCGTGCGTGTTTGTGTTGGGATATATGGAGGATTCTCAGTGTCCAGTTTCTCTCACACACACATATACACACACGTAGGCTCAATATAAACAACACACTGCAGCCGTACAACAAATACAGACGTGATATAAAGCCACAGATGAATACAATCAACTTAAAATGAGTTAGTGAGAAACTGCAGCAAGATCTGTTAGATTATGTTAGCATTAGAGCGACATTGTGGCTTTGTGGTTAGCCCTGTGACCTCACAGCAAGAAGGAGTCCATTTTGGCCAGTTGGCGTTTCTGTGTAGAGTTTGCATGTTCTCCCCATGTTGGTGTGGAAAATTACAGAAATGGAATTTAGAGCCACACACGCGGCTGTCAGTAAAGGAATCACTAGTGTTTTTGACCCACACTATAGTAAATTGCTGAAATGAATTGGTTGTGGTAATGCTACAGTTGCTATGTTAATTCAACAACTAAAGAGATATAAACATATGACATAATGTAGTTTTCTAGTCAAATATACTTGAAGTTAAAATTATTTGCCCTCCCGTGAATCTTCTTTTAAAAAAAATATTTCCCAAATGATGTTTAACAGATTCAGGAATTTTTCAGTGTTTCCTTATTTGCGTCTAATTCCCCAGTTTGTCACGGGGACATGAATGAAATGTTCATGAGTTGAACTGTAGTTAAAGTCAGGCATCCTGCTGATTTGAATCAGAGGGGCACTTTTTTTCAGACGGCTCACCGGTCAGGTATACATCCGCACTAAAATATCAAGGTGAAAGTCATCGTAGCTTGCGTGGGATAGACCCAGCTCCCAATCCAACTTTGACAATAGATTAACGGCAATATTTTTTAATCGCGCAATAAGAGTCTTGCGTTAACGCTGATAACAGCCCACCACTTAAGCCTAGTTCACACTAGAGGATTTTAAGCCTGATTTGAGCCCGATTTGGAAGTTAACGAGCTCGCCGACAGATCGGGCTGTGATCGGGAAGAAATCTGCGAGTGCACGGCGCTCGCCGCTCTTTATGTGTGAACTACTGAACAACGCATCAAAAAGGCTCGCTGACGCGTCGCCGACACCTCGCAGACGGAAATCCAACATTCAGCATCCTAAATATTCCCGGCCGACTCAACCCCACGTGTGGTCCGATGTAGTGACGAGCTGCAGCCAATGAGAGAGCAGATCAGCATGAGCTGAATGCCTGTGTGTTCAGGAGCTCAACAGAAACATCTGTGATTGGTCAGAATGGGCATCAACGTACTCGCTTCATTCTGTGTTAACACAGACATGAGAGTAGGATATATTAACAGTGGAACTAGAGTTCTGTAACTATTAGAATTACCATACTGCTCATTCTGACCGTTCTCATATAAAAGCCATACTGTCACAGCATATTTACATTCAAAGCTATTATTGAGATATTAAAATTAAGCTTTGAATGTCTGGTATCATATTTAATGACACCATTACCCTAAAAATAAAATATTTATTTGGTAATACAGCCTATAAATATGTAGTTAAGATACTAGAACATGCAAAGGTCTTGGCTTTCATTTTCACTTTCAAACAGGAGCTATTTAACAGCACAGAATATGCTGTTTTTAAAGATATCTGAAGTAAATTGATGTTTTTGCCATCAGAAAGTTTTGTTTATGTTAGCAGGAAGTTGCTAGGCAAAAAACTGCACACATATTTAAAGTCACAGCGAAAAGTATGAGACATGCATGCAGTCATTTTGACCAATATGGTAATTTAAGGCAGAAATGCTCAGTTCTTTACTGTTTTGCAATGATAAAAAAAAAATAACAATGTCAGAAAGAAATACACTGATAGTTAGAAAACGGCAGGGTGTTATTTGTTAGTTTTATTTCAAAGAGTTATAAAATTACAAAAATTAAAAACTCTCTGTGTATCTATCCACTCAAACCTTGCAGATGAGTGATTAATCCGCTGATAAATCAGCTGATTTGACGATGTTTTTAAATGCTTTCTCCAAAGCTTGAAACGCTGCCAGTGATGTCATCAGCACACAAGCAGCCAATAGTGTTCAGCTTTTTCTGATGACTCCTCCCTCAAAATTTCATTGGCTGTGGTTTGGTAGCTTGAATGAGCTGATGGGGAATGAGTTGTTGTCAGATCATGTAGTGTGTGACCCCCCTCTTGTGGATCATTCACAGAGTGTTGCGTAGTGTGAACACCACAGAGATTAAAAGACACAAAGTCAAGTCATGTAGTGTGAACGGCACAGCGATCTGCTGATGTTTAAAATCCTGTAGTGTGAACTAGGCTTTATAAATACACAATCCTTACTTGCTAACCGTACCATACAGAGGATCCCGAAAATATGACCCACCAAGAACTGCTATCATTGGGTCAGGGAGGAAAACACAATCTAAAATCCCTTTTTACATTGACGTCTTTGTAAAGTTCAGCATTCACAAGTTCTCATTTACATAGTATACAATTATTTATAGTTTCTCTTAATTTAAATGGATGAATCACTTGTCAGAGCAAAGGTTTACATGATATTTTACCCAGGAAAGAAAAATCTGCAAGCGTCTGAATGATGCATGAGAAACAAGATTGACTTTCCTCAGAGGACTGTCATCTTATTATTTACTGTCCACACACACACACACACACACACTCTCTCTCTCACACACACACACACACACACTCTCTCTCTCTCTCTCACACACACACACACACACTGCTATTTTCACTTCTGGCATTTGTTTGTTCAAAAACTCTTATGCAAGCACTTCTACAACACACACACATAAAAACACAACGTCTGCTGTGTGTTCAAACTACTTATTCATATTGAGCTGAAACAACACCTTGAGTTTCTTTAGACATCTTCAGATTGTTTTATGTTCAATTCACTTAAATGAGTATAAACTATTAGCTTAGCTTAATTCCTTCATGTTGCGCCAACACAAACTGATCGTGTGGAACTAGCGTGCATGTTAAACCCAGCTGAATGAAGCTAAATGAGCCAGCAGTGTTCTCTTTACTATCACTAACAGAAGCAGACGAGACTGTACCATGATGAGCAGACGACAGCGCTCCTCCAGCTAATCCTGCATGTCATCTTCTCTGAGTGTCTTCTGGAGCAGGTCAGTCATGTGGGCTGTGAGCTCTGAGGATAATCCAGCACTTCTGTCCTGCGTGAGTCCAGCCTGAACACTGCAAGAGCAGACGAGTTTCCTCTCCAGGGGTTCTCCCTCTCTCTCTTTTTCCGCTCTGTTTGTGTGTGTGTGTGTGTGTGTGTGTGTGTGTGTGTGTGTTTCTCCCTGTCCACTGTTTTTTCTCTGTTCACTCTGTGTGTGTGTGTGTGTGTGTGTGTGTTTGTGTGTGTTCACGTGTTTCTATATCTGTCCGCTCTGTGTATGTGTGTGTCTCTCTCTGTCCATTCTGTGTGTGTGTGTTTCTCTGTCCTTTGTGTTTTACTCTGTCTGCTTTGTGTGTGTTTTTTTCTCTCTCTCTGTCCAATGTGTGTGTGTCTCTCTCTGTCTTCTATTTGTTCTCTACCTGTCTGCTGTGTGTGTGTGCGTTTGTGTGCGCGTGTGTGTGTTTCTATGTGTGTGTTTCTCTCTGTCCATTCCGTGTGTGTGTGTGTGTGCGCGTGCATGTTTCTATGTGTGTGTTTCTCTCTGTCCATTCCGTGTGTGTGTGTGTGTGTTTGTTTCTCGGTCCTCTGTGTTTTACTCTGTCTGCTATGTGTGTGTGTTTTCTTTCTCTCTATAGTGTGTGTGTGTGTGTGTATGAGAGAGAGAGTGTGTGTGTTTCTCAGTCCACTCTTTGCGTGTGTGTGTTTCTTGTTCCTCTGTGTTTCTCTACTGTGTATTTTTCTCTGTGTGTTTGTGTGTGTGTTTGTGTGTGTGTGTGCGCGTGTGTGTGCGTGCGCGTGTTTCTATGTGTGTCTTTCTCTCTGTCCGTTCCGTGTGTGTGTGTGTGTTTCTCTGTCCTCTGTGTTTTACTCTGTCTGCTATGTGTGTGTGTGTTTTCTTTCTCTCTGTAGTGTGTGTGTGTGTGTGTGTATGAGAGAGAGAGTGTGTGTGTTTCTCAGTCCACTCTTTGAGTGTGTGTGTTTCTCTTTCCTCTGGATTTCTCTATTGTGTGTTTGTCTCTGTGTGTGTGTGTGTGTTTCTCTCTGTCCACTCTGTGTGTGTGTGTGTGTGTTTCTCTTTCTGTCTACTCAGTGTGTATGTGTGTGTTTGTCCACTCTGTGTGTGTGTGTGTGTGTCCAAACACATGCACTGTAGGTGAATTGATTAACTAAATTGGCTATAGTGTATGTGTAAATGGGTGTTTGCCAGTACAGGGTTGCAGCTGAATGGGCATCCGCTGCGTAAAACATGCTGGATAAGTTGCCGGTTCATTCCGCTGTGGCGACCCCAGAACAATAAAGGGACTAAGCCAAAAAGAAAATAATAAATGTATGTATGTGTGAAGGAGTCTGTATGGGTGTTTCCCAGTACAGGGTTGCAGCTGGAAGGGCATCTGCTGTGTAAAACATATGGTGGATAAGTTAATGGTTCATTCCTCTGTGGCGACCCCAGAACCATAAAGGGACTAAGTTGAAGGACAATAAATAAAGGAATACAATATGCTGAATGTTTTCTGTGAGTGTTGCTTTAGGGATATTCATGGATGATGACACAATATACAGTCTCAACGTTTCATTACGTCTATAGGATGTCCCCATAAAGATAAAAGTGTGTATGTGTAAAAACACAGAGTGTGTGTCTGCTATTAGTGATGTGATTCTTCTTCTTAAAGTAATGCAGTAGTGAATCTGTGGATGCTGCAGAGTCTTCATCTTCTGATTGGTGCACTTTAACCTCATAATGCATCCAAAGTCTATATGCTCTTCTCACACTCCAAGTCGGCTCAGACCCAAAGACATTTTAATATCTACATTTACTTAACGTTTCTATAAATATAATCCCACTGCATCACATTACCCAATTGCTATAGTGAAGAGATTTATTTTCTAATGATAAATAATAAAAATGAAAAGAAATCAGCTTTATGAAGTGCTTTGGGTGCATGGTCATACACAATAAATTCAGTGTATATATATATATATATATATATATATATATATATATATATATATATATATAGTGAGGTCAATAAGTATTTGATCACCCTATGATTTTTCAATATTTCCTACTTAGAAATCATGAAGGGGTCTACAATTTTTACCATAGGAGCTTTCCAATGTGAGAGACAGAATCTAAAAATAAAAATCCGGAAATCAAGTTGTATGATTTTTTAACAATTTATTTGTAAATTACTGTGTCAAATATTTATAATTATTTTATCTGACTCTTTTAGGATAATTGTGCCATTTTGGTGACTGTTGCTTTAAATTTAAATGAGATTGTCCTCTTTTCAAAAGAAGGCGGAGCTGCAAACCTCAAATGGTGGGCAGCTGCTTCTGACTCAAGGTTGTTTATGCTAATGAGGGAGAGATCATCACTAATGGGCGGGGTTTTCCCCCCTCTGATGACACGTATAAAGGGAGAATGTCAATCAAAGTGTCCCGGCAGACTGTTTTTATCAAGTGTGATTAAAAAAACAATACAATTAATAAATGTTTCCCATTAGAGGCCGGTTGTTTTTACACTCTTGCTGCATAATTGTGTTTAAACCCTTTATATAAGTGTTTTGTGCATAATAGGTCCCCTTTAAGGTAGTTTTCAGGTAGTAGATGGTCAAATCCTGTCAAAAACAGCTGCCACTTTTGTCTAGAAATTCATTCATTCATTTTCCTTCGGCTTAGTCTCTATTTCAGAGGTCACCACTGAGGAATGAACCGCCAACTATTCCAGCACATGTTTTACGCAACAAATGCCCTTCCAGCCGCAACCCAGTACTTAGAAAACACCTATACACACTCATTTACACACACGCTCATACACTACAGCCAATTTAGTTTATACAATTCCCCAATAGCACATGTGTTTGGACTGTTAGGGAAACGGGAACACCCGGAGGAAACCAACACAAGGAGAACATGCAAACTCCACACAGAAATGCCAACTGAGCCTTTCTTGCGGTGAGGCGACAGTGCTAACCACTGAGCCACTGTGTCTCCCCTCTTTTGTCCATAAATGTCATATCTAAAACCCTATGAATCGAGACCTGGGAAATGTGTAAACTCTCCAGCAGTCAGCAAACTAACAAATGTCCCTCACTGATCCCAGATAAGAGCAGAACACAGACATAAACACAGACGAAAGCTCAGGAGATCCACATCATGTACAGTCTCTCATACAGACAGCAGGAGCCGTGTATTCTGTAAGTGTGTTTACAGCAACACACAATCAGCAGAAGCACAGTTTGTGGTTTTCAGACAAACATCTGCCGTATAAACACACGGAAGCGCAGGAGCTGGTGTTGTAGAAACTCTGAGACCCTCAGAGCTCTACGTGCGGAGTGAGAAATGACTGCTCTCTAGAGCTCCATTAGATAAATAACAGTTAAAGATAGCAGCCATTAAACCAGCCAAACCCACTGCTGGAGTCTGTGTGTGTGTCAGAGAGAGAGAGAGAGAGAGAGAGAGAGGGTGTGTGCGCACTCAACTGATAGACAGAGTTCAAACACAGATCACGGGAAGGAAGCACTTATTGAAGGCTCTGGACATCAGACACTGTGTTTAAAGTTCATATGACGCTATTATGTGATCAGGATTTTTAACTATGTACAATTTAACAGGTCATTTTGGCCCCGTTTACACTGCCAGTTAAATGTGACCCAATTACGATTTTTTGCTTGTATGTGACACAGATCGGATCTGTTCTATGACCGTGTAAACTAGAGCTGCACGATTCTGGCTAAAATGAGAATCGGGATTTTTTTTGCTTAAAATAAAGATCACGATTTTCTCACGATTCTGTAGATGTAAATTAAAGGTATGGTACTGTATAACAAACATATGGCACAACCTCGATAATAATATAATGTGTAGGTCTACTGGTTTCTATAAATAATTCTATTCTACTTATAATAGTTCTGATGTTGAATTATTATGTTTGAGATATATGCTTGCAATCTGTCATATAAGACAATTTTATTCACTGTAAAATCAGACATTTGCCATTATCAGATTATATTCAATTATATATAGGCTAGAGTAGTTATACTGACACTGTAAACCTTTATTTTCATGCACAACTGTGTGTTCGCTATGAAAGAAAAAACATCAAATGCTTGTCGTAATCATAACTCTAAAATGCGATATGATCATTTAAATGAGGTGCACACTTTCGGTTTCATTCTGACTGCTAAGTGCTTGTTCATAGTTTGCGCGCGGCTCCCAAACGATCCCTCCGTGCCACAAACTGAATATTATTTGCAACTGTATTACCTGTTACTCGCAACATATGCAGATTCTGTTCACTAAAGTAGACACGCACCCTTTCTGTGATAACAGCTCACGGTCAGCAGCTCATGTCACGTGTGATTTCCCGATCGCAAAAACATCATTATGTTAAGACAAAAATGACATTTTTAGGGGAATTATACCTTATAAATACAGTATGCGACTCATTCAACATCATTTGGAGGTGTCAATATCACTGAGCAACGTATGTGAAACAATGAGAAGACTCGTGCAGCCGCCTTTGCTTCTCTCCTGAACTTGAAAATATGATTGGCAGAATCGAAGAAATGCTGGATTAAGATCGTCTAGGGGGTCGAATCGAGATCCCGATCTTTTAACGATTAATTGTGCAGCTCTAGTGTAAACACGAAAAAAAATGCATGTATTCGGATATTCACAGATTGGTTTTAGGCCTCCTTCATATGTGGAAATAAATCAGATATAGATCGGATATGTGACAATGCGACTGTGATGTAAACAGGCAGATCAGATTTATTGAGGCATTTCGTTCTGTACATCATTAAACTTACGACAATGGGGTGCTTCTCCGCGGTTTAATGACGTAGAAGGAAGAGCATGTGTGGAGATGCCAACGTGGTAAACAACATCAGAGCAAACACAGAGGAGGAAAGGGGTCAGTCGCCACAATTTGCTCCCACCAGACTTGAGATCTCTCTCGTACCCATACATTCCTCTGAATTGTGGAGGACATCATTAAAGCATATAAACCGTAAGTGCAAGCTGCGATGACTGCCTTTTCCCACCTCCACCTCAAAATCATTTTAAAGTTAGGTGAATTTTATGTTGTAACTTTTGCTTTTTGTCGCTATTAATACACACAGTGCGGGCGTTACATAGA